TAAAGGATGACTGGCTATGAAGGATCTTGATTTGAATTCCAATTGTTTCTCCACCCTTTCACATGTTGGGGACATCCTGAACCAGAGTTCCTTTGAATGAACATTTTAAAAAGCAATTTGTGTGGAAGAAAATGTGCAACTTTGGCCTAATAGTCAATCATGATGCTGCTGCAATTGTCTGCATACTTACTTGGCAATAAGAAGCCTCACTGAACTCAGCAGGACTAAATTCCAAGTAAGCATGCATAAGACTGCACAGTGCTTTTCGGGAAAATAGCTGGGCTGAATCTTGGATGAAGAATGAAAGCAGCAAATGTGTTATTGAAGGAAAGTTTATATCTAACCTGAAAGTTGTGAACGTATTCCTGAAATGTATCTGTACAGCAGTCCTTCTGCAGAAAACAATAACTACAGAATAATGACTGACTTAAAAAAACAACTGACAAAAAATATGGATGTTTGAACATAGAAATATGAGCTGTCTGAAAACATCAAGATCAGTGTCTTTATTACAATACCCTGTGCTGCTGATGAAATTGCATGTTGCTTCTCCCAAACCCCAAAAATAACCATTACACATACAATCTAATATTGCTTTCGGAGTTTCAAACTCCCAGGGCTGAAAAGCTTTCTAACCTTAAAGCAGCACACACACACAAAAATATCATTATCTATATCTATCTATCTGTCTATTATCTATCTATCTATCATCTATCCATTTGGATGTGGAAACAGAAAGCCTTATATTCATCAAACTTCATGTAATTCTCATAAAAGGTACATACCTGGACTTACTTTTCCTATCTTCAAAGCACTGACTTCAGCCAGATCATTCTCAACACATCTATAGCAGGAAATGATATTGGCAGACAGTGGATGGTGCTCCTGATGAAAACGTTAACAATGGCTTTGTCAGTTTGTGATCAAACAGAATTTGTAAGAACTAAAAGTAAAGATAATGAAATCAGAGTTCTTACCTGACAAGGCTTGCTCATCCAAAAGAATTTTTAAAAGGTCCCGTGTCTCATGTCATTTCGGACGCTTTCGCACTTACACCCGCAAACAGTGGCACACTTCTCCAGTGGTAACTTAAGCATGAATGTACTTCACATACCTGCCAAGGGCCCTGGTAAAAATGGGACAACTTGGGGTTGTTGTTTTTTGCAGGAGATTGCGGTGGCCATTTTGGGTGATAACCTCATGCACTCTAGCCCGCAAAATGCATTTTTGGGGGGCCCACGATGTTCAAATGCCCTGTGACTTTATCTTCTTTCCACATAATCTGAGCACTGGATTCTGTTGTCCTGCACTGTTTACCTTCCCTTGTATTTATTTAGAATGGATGACAATATTGCCCTTTGTCTCAGCAAATAACACTAGGTCCCTAGAGGTGGAATAGTTTTCATAAGGTAAAAATCACACCATCATGGCTATGCCAGTGTATTCAGCTTAAGTGTCTGCTCCATCTTGGGCCCACTTTAGTCATTATAATTTTTTTTAAAAAAAATAAGATCAAAATATGAAGTTTGGAGGAACCAAAGGGGCATCTCTAGCTGGAATCTGTTGCTGAGAAAATTACTTCCCATCAGTTCATGGGAATAGGAGCAAGTTATTTAGCATAATGTTTGTTTCAAATCATTTCTGAAATGAATAATTCCCTTCTGCTACTTTGGTTAAGGAACGAAAAGCACTAATACCTGTCAGTCCACTAAAAAACAAACAAAGGATTTGTCTAAAATCCAGCAATCTGGAACATGAGACAGATTTGTGACAACGTCTACAAACTAATGAGATGGAGACGAAAGCTGCATTTGCCTGCAGGCTGTGTCCACGATGTCTGAAAGAAAACCATATTTGTTTTGATCTGTTCAACATTCTGTAAGCACTGAGATGGGCCCCTTTGCATGAATAAACTGCCTCCATGTACTTGGAAATCAAATGAGAACTGATAGTTTCCCTTATTTAAACAGCTCTTTGTTTTCAAGTATTTCCCCCCAGTTAGTTCATGTAGAAGCGTGCCTACAGCACACTGAGCTGCCCAGAGAACGCAGCTTCATTTTGTAACAAAACGCCACACGAAGGAGAGAAGATGGTGGAATGATTGGTGCTATAGGTATATGCAGGTGCTCCAACAGCTCATGCCAAGTGGCAGCCCCTGCCAATAAAGTGGAAAAAGCCACGATACACTCTATCATTTGGACTGTGCAGTTTTAGTCTTTACGATGTCAGCAAAACAGATTGCTGCAGGTGTCGGCTAAACTCACCATCGGTAATCATCAAAGCAATTTCAACACAAAACATGGTCAGTTTCAAATCGACAGAAGAGAGGTTACGCATTCCTTTTTAAGGTCCACAGTGCAGAGGCATACAATATGACATTTGAACGATCATACGTCAGCTTAAAGATATACACGAACCTGTTGCCCCTTTGTTGCGAGCAATGGCAGACTTGGAGCTCTCAAATTTCAGTGGCACCCTGTGCGCTGATAAAATCCAGTGCCCACCCCGCCTCTCATGCTCCATTCTACAGCATCGTCATGGCGCCCCAAGCAGCATGGTGACCAGTGCGACCCAACTGGTTGCTCTGCCCTTAAACTGCCTCTGTTGTGAGCCATGATTAAACAATGAGGCATCTAACTAACCAGTTTTCTGTTCCATCCGAAACTAGGATTATTAGTTTTGGAACAATCTGGGATACTAAACTACAAACTGAAGTTGGTTTATTATCTTGGAACATTCCAAAACTGGGAAACTACGGTTTATTAAAAGCTCCCAGATTTAACTATGGCTTGGGTAAAGGGGACAGAAGCCCTTTGACAATCTCAGCTTAAATAAACCAAGATATGATTGTTTAAGCTTGTTGGCCACAGTTTCCCACCCCCCCCCCTCCGTTGCCTGTGGAAAGCATTTCAGAGTACCCTGTTAGCTGCTGCAAACCAGAAAGCCAGATAAGGGAAATGCAGCTAATGTATCACACGTGGAAGCAGACTGGGAATTGCTGTCACTTTGCCATCAGCTGAATGAGTTACAGCAAATCCCTTCATACCCCCTGAGTGTATAACTTCCATTTCATCACTGCCTGTCTGAGTATTTTGTCACAAGCCCTAACAGAAAACACCTTGGATCACTTTCTCTTGTGTGAACAATGAGCTTCCTGGGAAGCCAAGTTTCTTACCTTGCCCTCGTAAACCTTATTCTGAAAGGGACAGTGATAATCTTGACTCCCAACAAACTGCCAGATGTATGCCAAGAAAGGCTTCCTCACATTCAGCATCTTAACACTTCCTTGCTGCCATGAACTGGCCACTCTGCTCTGAGATGCTGAGAATTTATAGGATCCCAGTGACGCGTGTGCATTTTTCATGCACCTCATGATGATTCCAGCAAACCTGGAGCCCCATTAAATTGAGAGTGACAGCAATGTGAAAGAAGAAAAATGGAACTGCTTTGCAGATCCCAGCTGAGACTTTGAAAATCCTACAGTGCATTCAGGCAAAGGCTCCAGACCCAGGCTGCCAGAATACCCTGGAAGGCTACAGAATGCAGACCACCAAAGAGATGATTTGCAGAATAAAAGAATGCTAACTTGTGCAAACCACGCTGAGGTATTTCATTTCCGATGCTATATTTTGGGACAATTAACATGCCTATGAATGCAATTGCAGAGAACATCAAGATCATGAAAATAACACACTGAAAAGAGGCAGGTCCCAGCTGCTGGTTGCCCACTGTCCCAACCTCCCTTCCCCAGCTGTGATGCTGCTTCTATTTCTATGTGACATCTGAATCACATCTCGGTTATGAAAGTGATGGATCAATGCCTGGATGTAGTGGCGGATGGGATGAGAGCTAATAAGCTCCAGCTAAATGCAAATAAGATGGAGGCCCCGAGTCTGGCAGGCAACTTATAATGCTGCACTGTCCCTGAAGGAGCAGGTGTGCAGTTTGGGGGTGCAGAATGCCCAGGCGGTGGGAATGGCACCTTTTACCACCTTTGATTGGTGTTGCAGGTATGACTGCTCTTGTGTCACGCTAACCATGCCACACTGACTTGGTAACATCAGGACTGGGCTACTGTGATGCATTCTAAGAGGCGCAACCTTTAAGATTGGTACGGAAGCTGCAGCTAATGCAGAATACAGTGCTTAGGCTGCTGACTAAGGAAGCTTAATGCAAATATTTAACACTGCTTTTTAAAGAACAGCATTGGCTGCCAATACGCTACTACGGGTGGCACTGTGGGTTAAACCACAGAGCCTAGGACTTGCCGATCAGAAGGTTGGCGCTTCGAATCCCCGTGATGGGGTGAGCTCCCGTTGCTCGGTCCCTGCTCTTGCCAACCTAGCAGTTTGAAAGCACAAATAGATAAATAGGTACCGCTCCGGCGGGAAGGTAAATGGCGTTTCCATGGGCTGCTCTGGTTCGCCAGAAGCGGCTTAGTCATGCTGGCCACATGACCCAGAAACTGTACGCCGGCTCCCTTGGCCAATAAAGCGAGATGAGCGCCACAACCCCAGAGTTGGCCTCGACTGGACCTAATGGTCAGGGGTCCCTTTACCTTTACCTAAAGCCCTAAACTGCTTCCGACTGGGTTATCTGAATGGTTTGCCATGTATAGATCTTGCTGGAGGGGGCCAGGCCCATTCATGGTGCACTAAACTACAGTGCAGTGTGACATCAACATGTGGCTGCTTTATCTCAGCCTCAGCTTTCCCACTCCCTTCACCTGCAGTATAGGGAAGATAATTCTTGCTCACCTTACCAGAGTGTTGTAATATTAACTGAGATAATGTATGTGAGTACCACTGAACACTTGACATGCAGTATATACATGCTAAACATTATTATAAGCACAGTTCATTAAATATGTCTGGAGGGGAAATGCAAGCCTTTCTGCAACAGTAAATGCACATTTTACATATAATGCCATTATCTGCTTTCTGTCAACACATGGTATGAACACAGGATCTCCTGTACTGGAAAGGTACTAAATCGCTTACCTTGATCAAGGAGGATTGTTGAGTCTGTGCTGGGGATCTGGTCTTTCATCTTCTCATCTTCACTCTCCTCATCGCTAACCTCCTGAAAGATACCAGCAGTAAGTGTTGCAGGTGTGAATAACTGGTCAGTCGGCATCTCAGAAAAGGCTGGGGCTTAAATCATTGCTGGCTGATTGATCTGCTGGAGGAGGTGTATCAGGATCTCCTGGTCTGAGAGGAACCCCAGTACTATCCAAGGCATTGAAAGGCACTGTGGGCATTGGGTAATCTAGAATGAGGTTTGTATCCTCAATGTCATTAACTGTTGCTGGACTTGCATAAACCAGTGGTACTTCAGAGGTCTAGCAAAGAGAAGAAAGAGAGGATGAAGAAAACCTGAAGAGAGGAACAATTGCTATGATACTTAACTGTGGTCCATGGAAGGCCATTTCACACATTAAGGTTGCTAAGTGCTTGTCTATTATGATTTAAGTGTACATTATAGAACCTTGATTTGCTCTGGTTTCTATAAACTGCGCTGCAAACCAGGGGTTGCCTCTGTGTAATGCAGGGTTTCCCACACTTGGGTCTCCAGCTGTTGTTGGACTACAACTCCCATCATCCCTAGCTAGTCAGGGATGATGGGAACTGTAGTCCAAAAACACCTGGAGACCCAAGTTTGGGAAACTCTGGTGTAATGTATACAGGTACACTCCAGAAAATATTTTAAAACTGTGTACGTATGTGCACGCACACATGTATGTATTTTTATTTATAGAGTTTATTATTACACTACTTGTCACATATGATTCTGGAGTGGCTCATAACAATATAAATATATAAACGTAACATTAACACATTCACCTGTCCTCTCACAAATATTCAAAATACTCTGAAGCAAGAGAACTGCCTTCATCTGGGACTAGAAAACTGACAGAGTAGGTGCTAGCTAGACTTCAGGGGAGAGAATATTCTATAGCCCAGGGTGCTGTTGCTGAGAAGGCCCTTGGTGTGTCTGTCTATAGGAGGGGGTCGTAGATATCCTGGCCTCAGTTAACATTAAAACAATGAGCAGGGTGGCGATACAATGACTACTGCAATCGACACAAGGTAGTATCACCAAGGCAACTATCTGTAAATAAATAATAAATATTCACTGTTCTCAGTTAACATTGGCAGTACCAGAAGAGCCTCCACAGTCAGCATCAAAGGAAGGACAATATGGAGAAGACACCATCTTTCAGGTAACTGGGTCCTAAGGCGTTTAAGGCTTTATACATCTGAACTGTTACTTTATAATAGGTCCAGTGACAAATATGACAGGCAGTGCAGATCTTTAAAGACTGCATGCCCATTAGTTCTGTGGTCGCTGCATTTTTTTAAATGGCTGGTGTCTCCTGACCATCTTCAAGGACAATACTACACAGAGTGAACTGCAGTGCTCTAAACAGGAGGTTACTAGAGCATGGATCACTATGGCCAAGCCATTCCCTATTCAAGAATGGTCATGACTGGTGAAACAGCCCCAACTGGAGAAAGGCACTCCATACCAGATACCACTTGGGCCTTCAGTGACAAGGTCAAATCAAGGAGTACCCACAGACTACAGACCTGATCCTTCAAGAGGAGTCAATTCCATCTATAACAGGCCACCTTCTTCTTTCCTGGATCCAACGTATCATTGAAACCACAGATATTGTGGCTAATCTGTGGCCCTCCAGATATTGTTGGACCATGCCTCCCATCATCACTGACCATGCTGGAGGGGCCTGATGGGAGTAGGAGCCCAACAACACATGGAGGGTCACAGGTAGGTCACTCCTGCTATATGACATCTTCACATGATCAATAAATAAACAATATGCAATAAACACATTTTGTTTTTTGGTGCCACAAGTCATGCATGCTCCAGATTTTGTTTTTAATATCTGTTGCCTCCTCCCACCATGGGAGACATAGATTTGCTCTGAGATAAATGGTAGAGGGGCAGGAACCTCTTGGCTCTCCCTCCTTTGCTAGTTTTTAAAACTAGGGCAGATGAGCTCTGTTTTGGTTTAGCAAACAAAGTTTAATAGCCACCAATGGAATAAAATATACAAGTTCACAAAATAGGAGTTTATGCGGGGGATCGGGAGGGCAAGAGGCTGAGTGTTGGAAACTTTGCCTTAAAAACAACAGTGTTGAAAAGTTCACTCCAGCACTAGGGTTTCATAGGATGTGAACACATGGGGGGGGGGGAATTGCATGAAGCAGAAGGAGTTGTATTTGACAGAGAAGATATAATAGCAGCCTGGGTCTGTTGGATGCTACTCATATTCACAGTCAAAGTTTTATTTTGCAATGGTTTTATTAGGTTCCTGGTATATATCTTACCTTAAGGAACAAAGGCAGGAAAATTTACTCACCAACCCAAGTCCAGCGACACCATCGGTTACCATGGATTGGATATCATTATCTACGTCACTTGATGGCCTAATGGTTTCTGCAAAATGAGACAAATGCAAAGGGATTTTTTTCAGTAAATCTGCATAAATGACAAGAAGCATGCTTACTGATCAAAGTGTGCAAAATGTTATATAAGGTGCTATGCTGTAAACTTGAGTAATGTCACATGACAAATACAATTACAGAGCTGGGAGGGGAGGGTTGGTCATTCAATATGAATTTAAATTTTAAAGATGCTGCTTAATCCAGAGAACTGAGCTTTCTCTCTAAATTAACTAATGGGAAAGAGCAGTATGAACTCAGATTGTTCAGCATGTCCACATTGCAAGGCCTCGGTCCTGTATACCTGAAGGAGCATCTCCACCCCCATCGTTCAGCCCGGACACTGAGATCCAGCGCCGAGGGCCTTCTGGCGGTTCCCTCATTGCGAGAAGTAAGGTTACAGGGAACCAGGCAGAGGGCCTTCTCGGTAGTGGCGCCTGCCCTGTGGAACGCCCTCCCAGCAGATGTCAAGGAAATAAACAACTATTTTACTTTTAAAAGACAACTGAAGGCAGCCCTCTTTAGAGAAGTTTTTAATGTCTAATGCTGTATTGTTTTTAATATTCAGTTGGAAGCCGCCCAGAGTGGCTGGGGAAACCCAGCCAGATGGGCGGGGTATAAATAATAAATTATTATTATTATTATTTTTCCCATTACACAGCAACAGGTCTGGGTTTACTACTGAGTGTCTATTTGGCTCAAAGCGCCAGTTAATTCTAGCTCGCTGACAAATGTGGTACGCTTGTGAAATATATGTGCTGTTCAAATCCATTTGTTGCATTCATACATATATTTATTCATTTTACTGGATCTCTGCAACCTCAGAGGGAATCAATGATGCACAGCGCAAGGTCATTTTCAACTGGCTCCCTAGTTTACAAAGAGGAAAATCTGATTGACTGACCGTCAGCAAACTGAAGTGTCCCCAAGATCCATTGACAGTGACTTATCTTCCTGTAGTGCCATGGCAACCATCTGCTGAAGGTCTGTCACTCTCGGTTTAGTTTGCTGGTATCTCGCCCTCCGTACTAATAGAACCTTTTTCGTTTTCAATCTTGTTGGAGCTGATAGTTGAGATGTCATCCGCAGGACCTTTAACTTCGGACTCCTCTCTCTCAAAGTTGATGACCATACCGAGCTACCGTGCTGCTTGACCTTTGGGTGTGGGAGGAAACTAAGTGTATGATAAATGCTTTTACCTGTGCCAAGTTCATATTTCACTGAAATTGGTTTAGTAATAGAGGAGGACATGGAAGACCTGCTTGTCATTTCACTGGCTAGCTTGCTAATCTAAGTTAAGTAGCAATGAGTCACAACTTCCCTCGGTCACCCAGCCCTCTTCACTGGTTAAAACCAGTGACACTGCTTTTATGGTGACTGAGATGGGTTAGGAGATATTGCCACTGCTGCGAGTTAACAGGAGCTCTTGCGATATGACTCACTCCAGTCATGTAAAGGTCAACTTGGCTAAATTATTGAAATGCCTTCTCCAGGCAACCAACACATTAAAATATCAGCAAGGGAAAATAACATTTAATCCACAATGCAACACAATTAATGATGCAAAATTTAAAAACTAGATTTCCCATCCTTCCTAGTTTGGATTGAGGTATGCAGGTAGGTGTCTGTGAAGGTGGAGATGCTTAAAATCCATTTAGCATAATAATGAACTTTGCTTCTCACTTGCATGGAAAACCAGATGCCTTCTAACCAGTATCTCCTAAACAGAATGACAACATTTCCTCAGCATTCAAATAGCAATATTCTTCTCTCAAAGCGCATCCCTTGCTTTTCTAATTGTACTGCAGGGTGGCACACATGGCATGGGCAGCTACTGAACAGCACTTATTATATAACTAGTGCTGGATAAAAATAATCCACTCAACCCATGGGGGTAAGGTGCCTTTTCTAAGCAGTTTAAAATGTTTAAAAGACATAGTTGGAGCCTGGACACTCCCTGTTTGAAACCTATAAGGAAGGGTTGTAGGTGACTGCTAGACTAGAGCATATTATTTGCATACGGAAGGTTCCAGATTCTGTTTGCAGCATCTCCAGGTACGGTAGGGAAACCCTGGAGAGCTACTGCCAATCAGCATCACAATGCTGAAGTAGATAGCCAATGGCCTGACTTCTCAGTAAAAGGCACTTTTCTATGTTCCTGCGTTCCCTAATCTGTCAAGTGCAGAAGTGTTCATGTAAGTTATAACTCACTATAATGATGATATAGGTTTGTGTGCAACATGCATGTAGCATAAAAACATAGCCCTTCCAGTGCTAGGTCACCTCAACTCCTATAATTTGGTGTTATCAGATCCCAGCAAAAAGGCACATTCCAGACAACAAGGCAGCCTCCCACATTCAGTACCTGTGGCAACCATATCATGCTGTGTACTAAAGGTAACGTTGACTATAGCACTAATTGGGTAAGTCCCTAGGAGTAGTTGCTGAACAGTCAATCAAAAGCAGTTGTATTTCTACCCTTCTTGCTGGAACAGTACATGAATGCTTAGGAGGAACAGTGCACATAAATAAAAGTGCCATAAAAGACCTGTTATGTGTTAGGAGTCACATCAAATAAAAAAGGAGTGACTATGTACTCAGAGGCCTGGTTCACATGCCGCACTAAACCATAGTTAAAATAAACCACAATTTAATGTGAACAAGCAGTGCTTCACTCTTCCCTTGCTCCTGCTAGGAAACAAACCATGGTATGGCTTGCCTTGTTGTCCAAACCTGGACTTGTGGTTTGTTTCTCTCTGAACAAACCACAAGCGGAAGCCAAGGTTTGTTCTTAGTTTGCCACTCATGGTTTGTTTGGGGGAAATAAATCATGAGACCAAGCTCAGGTGGCCTGACAAGTCAGATCATGGTTTGTTCCTTGGCAGTGCAGCAGAAGTGGGGGAGGAGTAAAGTGTCATTCATATTAAACCACAGCAAATTTGACTATAATTTAATACGTCATATGAAGCAGATTAATGTGCCTTTTCTTCACCTCTGAGTAATCACAAGCAGACCTGAAAGAGCTGGTTTGTTCTAGGATAAAGGATTCCAGGATAAGGGAACATGACTCCTTAAGGAAAGAAGAAGAGGAGGAGTTTGGATTTGATATCCCGCCTTTCACTCCCTTTAAGGAGTCTCAAAGCGGCTCACAATCTCCTTTCCCTTCCTCCCCCACAACAAACACTCTGTGAGGTGAGTGGGGCTGAGAGACCTCAGAGAAGTATGACTAGCCCAAGGTCACCCAGCAGCTGCATGTGGAGGAGCGGAGACGTGAACCCGGTTCCCCAGATAACGAGACTACCGCTCTTAACCACTACACCACACTGGCTCTCAGGACCTAATGGTCACAACACCAGACTCCATAAACATAGCAACATCCCTAATCAGAGAACTCAGCACATTTGCAATGGTGTCGGGCCTCCATCTTTGCAAAGTCTGAGGCTATGTGCAGATGGGTAGCCGTGTTGGTCTGCCATAGTCAAAACAAAAAAAATTCCTTCCAGTAGCACCTTAAAGACCAACTAAGTTAGTTCTTGGTATGAGCTTTCGTGTGCATGCACACTTCTTCAGATACACTGAAACAGAAGTTGCCAGATCCTTCTATATAGTGAGAAGGTGGGGAGGGGAGAAAAAAAAATTCCTTCCAGTAGCACCTTAAAGACCAACTAAGTTAGTTCTTGGTATGAGCTTTCGTGTGCATGCACACTTCTTCAGATACACTGAAACAGAAGTTGCCAGATCCTTCTATATAGTGAGAAGGTGGGGAGGGGAGAAAAAAAATTCCTTCCAGTAGCACCTTAAAGACCAACTAAGTCTTTAGCATGACCCCTCACACCCAATACCATAATGAAAACTTCACAGAAATGCAGAAATGTAAATCAGGCAAAGTTCAGAACTCAGGTTTCTGTAGACAAGCCTATCACTCAGATTTTAACAATGCAAGCTAATTGTTTTCCTGGGCTTGCCAGAGCATCTTATTGAAATGCTGAATAGACAGGTACTGAATCAATTGACTAAGGATTGGTCCCATTCCTACCAAAGATGTTTATGTGTTAACAGGGCTTGAGACATTTGCAAATGTAAAGACTGCTGGCTGTGAAGGATTGATTTTAGCAAGAACTTCCTTCTGAATGTTTGGAAGGGGCTCTTCAACTGGAGGCTAAAGTTGGTCTTGCTTTTGCTCTGTGAACTGTCTGATAGACTCAAAGATGCTTGTGGTTTTGTGGGTTGGTGGCCGGCTGGGAAATTGCCTGTTTCTGTGTCGCCATTTCCTCATGAAAATCAATGCAATACATTTTTTTTTAAAGGAAAGCTTGGGGTGAACAAAAGGCTAATGGGGAGACGTAAAGGAACTGGCAGTGTTACAGGTTCCACGTACTACTTGTTCGGCATTTGTAAGAAATCAATCTTTCAGAGCGGCAGAAACTCCCTGCCTGTTGTTGACATCATGCAGGTGCCTTCACTCTACTCTTTTTGGCTCCTGCTAAAAATATTTAGGCCTTAAATGGCTCAGGACCACAATACCTCAAGGACCGCCCTTTTCCATATGAACCTACCTGGAGCCTGCAATCATCATCCGAGGCCCTTCTTCGTGTGCCTCCTCCATGAAAGCTCTGGAGGGTGGCAATACAAGAATGGGTCTTTTCTGTGGTGGCTCCCCGTTTGTGGAATGTTCTCCCCAGGGAGGTTCAGCTGGCACCTTCATTATACACCTTTAGACGCCAGGTAAAAACATTCCTCTTTAACCAGGCCTTTGGCTGATTGACATCCAATGCCCTTTTAAAATGGGGGGACGGGATGGGGGTTAATTGGGTAGTTTTTGTTTTGTATTTTGTGATTTTATATTGTGATTTTATGTTGTAACCGTCCTGAGACCTGTGGGTATAGGGCGGTATAAAAATTTTAATAAAAGCCTGCAAGCTTTTAGATTGTTGTGAGTGTGTGTGCGCGCGCTAGGCTCTTTGCATGAGTCCTTTTCTAATTCAGCAAGGATTCAACTGATTGAAAAGTTCTCCAGCTTCTTGGTGAGATAATGGCCCCCTAAGTATGGGACATTAAGGTAACAACAACAACACTTTTATTGTCAATGTACAACCTGTGTACAATGAAATTAACAAAGGAAGTGGCTTTGTGCCAGGGGGCAATTGGGTGTGTCCATCAGCTGGTAGTTAGGACAAAATCCAGGGCTGAGTCCTGTGTGTGAGAGAGAGGGAGAACGCTCTAGAAGCAGGCTGAAAGTAGAAGGGGGAGAGAGGGCCATGCCTGACTTCTGCTGGAATTCAAGGCTATGGGGGAAGCAAGACTTTCTTGAGAGCGTTAGTGCTGTAAGACCCTCCATCATGGGCTCAGGTTGTCTATACAGTGGTACCTCGGGTTAAGTACTTAATTCATTCCGGAGGTCCGTACTTAACCTGAAACTGTTCTTAACCTGAAGCACCACTTTAGCTAATGGGGCCCCTGCTGCCACTGTGCTGCCGGAGCCCAGTTTCTGTTTTTATCCTGAAGCAAAGTTCTTAACCTGAAACACTATTTCTAGGTTAGCGGAGTGTGTAACCTGAAGCGTATGTAACCTGAGGTACCACTGTATGTGTAAATAAACCATCTATCCTAAAGACACCAGTCTCTGCTGTGTCTTATCCAGAGGTTTGAGGCTAGAAAGGCCACTGTACAAAATTTACATTAATTGCTCCACCCATGCTTACCTCCGGCCCTGCCCACCACAGCATCTCCTAAGGTCTTTTTCTTTAGGACGGGTGCATAACTTTCACTTCAATTATGTATTAAATTATTTTCACATGTATTACTTCTTTTAGCTAGGCCTTGTAAGCACTGAGTACTTAAAGCAGTATTGCACCACTTTAAGCAATAATGGTTTCCCCCAAAGGAACCTGGGAGCTGTAGCTCTGGCCGGTTATAAATAAAATTTATTATTATTATTTATTTATTTTATTTTGTTAAGGATGCTGAGAGTTGCTAGAAAACCCCTATTGCCCTCATGAATCTATGATTCACAAGAGTTCCTTGGGACAAGGGATTCTTGAACCAGTCTGGGAACTGTAGCACTACGAGGGGAAAAAGGTAAAGGGACCCCTGACCGTTAGGTCCAATCGTGACCGACTCTGGGGTTGCAGCGCTCATCTCGCTTTATTGGCCGAGGGAGCCGGCGTACAGCTTCTGGGTCATGTGCCCAGCATGACTAAGCTACTTCTGGTGAACCAGAGCAGCGCACGGAAACGCCGTTTACCTTCCCGCTGGAGCGGTACCTATTTATCTACTTGCACTTTGACATGTTTTCGAACTACTAGGTTGGCAGGAGCAGGGACTGAGCACCTTCTGATCGGCCGCCCTAGGCTCTGTGGTTTAACCCACAGCGCCACCCGCGTCCCATGAGGGGAATAGGGGCCTCCTAAAAACTCTCAGCACCTGTAAGTTCAGCACCTACAGTTCCCGTAATCCTTTGGGTGAAGCTGTGACTGTTTAAAGCGACTTAATACTGCTTTAAATGTATGGGGCAGATGGAACCCCTGTCTCTCATTGTCACTCTTTTGCATTGTTATAACTTATAATCATTTAATGCAAGCGAGTAACAACCAGCATACATGTAAATAATAATAATAATTTATATCCCACCCAACTGGCTGGGTTTCCCCAGCCACTCTGGGCGGCTCCCAAGAGAATATTAAAAACATGATAAAACATCAAACATTAAAAACTTCCCTAGACAGGAAATAATAATAATTTATATCCCACCCAACTGGCTGGGTTTCCCCAGCCACTCTGGGCGGCTCCCAACAGAATATTAAAAACATGATAAAACATCAAACATTAAAAACTTCCCTAGACAGGGCTGCCTTCAGATGTCTTCTAAAGGTTAGATAGTTGCTTATTTCCTTGACATCTGATGGGATGCCCTCTGCCTGGTTTCTTACGCCACTTTAAGCCGTCATGGCTTCCCACACGAGTTTTAATTCTTAATGTTCATAGCACTGAGGCAAGCAAGACTCAGCCAAGATTAAAGGAGACAGTAGACACCCAGCCGGAATTCCTTTTATTATTGTACTCCTTCAGAACTTTGCAAACAGGGATTCTGAAGAAACAGGCCTGCTCACGAAACGCCACGCGATGCATGTGCTTTCTTGTACTGCACAGGCCACAGAGAAAATTTCCACCTGGAGGCTTGGCCTCTCCTTTTATTTACAGTGTTACCTCGGTTTTTGAATGTCTCCGTTGAGAAACATTTCAGTTTTTGAACGCCGTGAACCTGGAAATAAATGCTTCGGTTTTTGAACACACCTCAGAAGTCAAACATGCCACGCAGCTTCCACATTGAGTTTTAGGTTTTCAAACGTTTGGAACTTGAACGGTCTTCCGGAAGGGATTACGTTCAAAAACTGAGGTACCACCGTATTTATTTCTCTGTGGCAATGCAACCTGCTTTCAGGGATGGGAGCTCGAGCCCCTGCTTCCCTCCTGACTGTGGAAAATGTGTTGCCGTCTACAGAGCAGAAGAGTCTCTCAGCACCCTTCTTGGAGGCCCTGGTGTTTCACCAGCGCTGCTCTCTGATCAAAACTCTTCCCGCCCTCCGGGTGCGAATAAGGCCTTTGGCCTCTGTGGATTCTCTGGTGCCTGATCAGCTTATCCCTCCGAGAGAAGTTCCTCCCGCACTCGGGGCATTTGAACGGCTTCTCTCCCGTGTGGGTTTTCTGGTGGCACATCAGGTGCACCCTTTGCCTGAAGCACTTTCCACACTGAGGGCATTCGTACGGCTTCTCTCCCGTGTGGATCCTCTGATGTCTCAGTAACGGCTCCCGAAAGGTGAACCCTTTCCCACACACGGGGCACTCGTGCAGTTTCTCTCCCGTGTGAATTTTCTGGTGCTTAGTCAGCGTCTGCCTGTGCCTGAAGAACTTCCCGCACTGCGTACATTGGTATCGCCTCCCCTCTGTCTGAATCCCTTGATCCCGCTTTAACGCCTTTCTGTTCCCGAAGCTTTTCCATTCCTCAGGACATTCGTAGGGATCCGCTTGCGTGCGACTGTTCTGATACCCGATCAAACCGTCCCCACGGCGGACGCTTTTCCTGCCCTCAGAGAGCTCATGTTGCCTCTCACCTGCAGAGATTCCTGGACGGTTATCCAAGAAACATTTCAGCTGGACGTTTTCTTCCAGCGTGGGACTTTTATAGGCGTTCTCCCTATTAGGGATCATAAGAAGTCCTGATTTGTAGCGGGATTTTCTAACCTGCTTGGAGAAGAGCTTTCCCACCTGTGTCTGCACGGTGCTAACAGCAGGTGGGAGAATTTGCACGACCTCCGTGTATTCATTCTTTTTCTCTATCAACAGCTGCTTCTCCTGATGCCCTTTGGATTCCCATCGGTCCTCATAAATTTCAGGTGCCCCAGGGAAATCCCATCGGGACGTTTCTGCTAACGTCCTATGTGCTTCTGCCAGCAAAGTTTCTCCTAGCTGAGATTTCTCCATCTTGATCCAATGTCTTTTCCCATCACCTAAAGAGAGAAGAAGAGAGGGTTTTTGTCTATGTTCTGGTCTCCTCTTGTCAAGAGAATCCTTCTCGCTGCTCTCCCTGCCTGTTGCATACTCTAATTCAGTGCTTCCCAAAACTCTCCTCCCCTCACCCCACAGACCACTTTAAAAAGGCCAGACTTGACAGACCACTTAATGTCGCCACTGCAATGTGCTAGATGCTGTACATTTTTTAATTTTATTTCTATTGCTCCTCCTTTTCTTGTGCTTCGCAGTATGACAACTTACTTTCCGTAGAATTCAAAATTGCAGCACAACAGAAGAAATTTGCTTCCAACAGAAGAAATAAAAAAGCAAAAGAAATACAATTAAAAATCAATTTGGACATTTAATGCAGGCATTAAAGCTTGGCCACATTTTTGGAACACCTGTTATAATTCATCACATCATTGCTAAGCTAATGCCCCCCACCCCCATCTCAAAGATCACCCTCTCCGTAAAATAATAAATGTCAACGTTCCCAGATTCTGCTCTTGGGAAAGATGTTGTCGCTTGTGTTGTTGTTGTTGTTGTTGTTGTTGTTATTTTATACCCCGCCCATCTGGCTGGGTTTCCCCAGCCACTCTGGGCGGCTCCCAATAAAATATTAAAATACATCAAACATTAAAAACTTCTCCAAACAGTTAAATTAGTTAAGCCAGTCAAGGCAAATGGGTTTATTTCCCCCTCATTTTGCAAAATAAGCTATTATGTATTTTACATGTTTTCTCTGTTCAAGCGGAAAGGGGACAACACAGAGACTCAAACCCTGGGAATTATGGGTTGCATCCAACATTAGCCACACTCATAGCAGACCCATTGAAAATAATGAATGTGCCCATTAATTCCAATAGGTGCACTCTGAGCAGAACTCATTTTCTGAGGTAGGTCAATGAGCATCCAAAAGATTCCAGTAACCTCCCAAAAATGTGTTCCTGAGGTGTCACAACAACAGCCACATTCCTGTGTGTTCAGGATCCCAGCCTATTTCCCTCTCCCAAACTGACATTTGACAGAGGAATTTTGTGTAGAATAGGACTCTTGCAGAATATGCTAGGGGTCAGCAATAAATGGACCCACCTCAGATATATCCTCAAAGAGACACAGTTTCTGATCAGGGGATTTCAGCCCTGTCACTGCCCTACATGGAGGTTCTAACATAGTCGTTCCCAAACATCCGTTCCTCATGGACTTGAAAATTGCAGATGGACTTGGCTTAATGTTGTTTCTGCCTCTCATAGCAATTGGAATGTGTGGTGTTAGATGCTGTAGGGCAGGGGTGCCCAAACTTTTTTCAAAGAGAGCCAGATTTGAGGAAGTGAACATGCGTGAGGGCCAACCAAAGTTGCTGAGCTTTTTTTAGGATTGAAGTTGTTGAGCATGTCTGCAGTGTACGGTTTTTAGTTGTGCTTCTATTGCTCCTTTTATTACTTATACATTTTATTTCATCGCACAAGTTAATTCACATTCCACATAATTCAAACGGGAACATTGGAAGATACAACATAAGAAATAAAAGTCTGAATAAAAATACAGCCGAAAATATGAACACTGACTGCAGACATGCTGCAGACCACCTGAATGAAGCTAGCAGATTCTTGGCAGCCCACGAGTCACAGAGTCTGGGATCTCCTTTAGCTCTCCAACCGAAACTTGGGGTTAACTGCTGGCAGTCTGGTACACAGTAGTGGACCAGACAACCAATGGCCTCACTCTGTACAACTCAGTCCCATATCTCGAATTCCCTCTGACCCCATGGAGAAAACCTATGTTAAGGCCAAAGGTTTATTTTTTCTGTTTCTCACAAAAAGTCTGCCTATGCTCTCTCAGATCATCAATTCTTGTTCGTGTCACAAAACGATAGAATCATAAAGTTGGAAGGGTCTCCGAGGATCCTCTAGGGGCAATGCGGGAACTTCAACTAAAGCATCCATCCAACCTCTGCTTAAAAACCTCCCGTGAAAGAGAGTCTATGGATTCTTTGATGGAGGAGCTCTGAGCGTCTGGACCCAAAGTTCTCCCCCTCTTGGGACTTGCTACGCTTCTCTGTTTGTGAGTTCTCCAATGTCTGATCAGCTCAGATTTCCGGGAAACTATTCTCCCACACTGAAGTCATTTGTGATGATTCCCTCCCATGTGGATTCTCAAATGTCTCCTCAGATGTTCCTTCCGTACAAAGCTTTTCCCACAAACGAGGCAACTGTGAGGTTTCTCTCCTGTATGAGTCTTTCGGTGCCTTGTCAAATCCGATCGCCAAAAGAATTTTCTCCCACACTCCTGACAAACACAAGGTTTCCTCGCTGTGCGGCACTGCTGATGTTTAAGGAACTTATTTCTCTCATGGAAGATTTCCCCGCATCTGGGACACTTGTAAAATATTTCGCTGGTACGTTGCCTTCTCTGGTCGCCTAGATGCTGCCGGACGATTCCCACCGGCACAAGACAGTCAGATGAATCTTCCCCAGCTTGTTTCATAACAAGTCCTGGTTTGTGCCGGGAGCTTTTATCACACTTGGAGAGCAAAGGCCTTTCTTCCCTGGTGCACACTGTGTGTTTTTCACTCCAAGACTCCTCAAGACCTTCTGAGAGGCTACAGGATTCATTCTGAGCTGTCAGTGGCTTCTTCTCCAGTCCACTGTTGAACTCAGATGTTTCCTCGTGGATCTTGGCTGCCACTGACACATTTCTTGGGTCTATCTGTGGAAGAGACCTAGGTGATTCCTCCAGTTCATTTCCTCCATAGTGAGAACACCCCATCTTGATCCAGTTTCTCTTGCTGTCACCTGAAGAGACAAGAGAGAGGAATTTTGCTGGTCTTCCTTCCATTGTACGGCATAACAGGCTCCGTTAAACATCTCTTCTCCCGCAACCCCTTGTATCTAGAATGTAAGAATAACCTGCTAGATCCGGCCAGCAGCCCATCCAGTCCAACACCCTGTTCTCACAATGGCCACCAGATGCTCCACTGAGAAGTCCACTAGCAGGATCTGAGCACAACAGCACAGGACTCTCCCAACTTGCGATTTGCAGCAGCAGCAGGCATCGGGAGGAATGCAGCCTCAGGCAGTGGTGGCAGAACATAGCGCAACGTAGTGCTCAAACCCACAACCCTGAGATAATAATAATAATAATAATAATAATAATAATAATAATAATAATAAATTTATTATTTATACCCTGCCCATCTGGCTGGCTTTCCCCAGCCACTCTGGGCAAAAGCTTCCCTAAACAGGGCTGCCTTCAGATGTCTTCTAAAAGCCTGGTAGTTGTTTTTCTCTTTGACATCTGGTGGGAGGGTGTTTCACAGGGCGGGTGCCACTACCGAGAAGGCCCTCTGTCTGGTTCCCTGTAACTTGGCTTCTCGCAGTGAGGGAACCGCCAGAAGGCCCTCAGCGCTGGACCTCAGTGTCCAGGCAGAACGATGGGGGTGGAGATGCTGCTTCAGATATACCGTATTTTTTGCTCTACAACATGCACCTGACCATAACACGCACGTAGTTTTTAGAGGAGGAAAACAAGAAAAAAAATGTTCTAAACGAAACACTGGATGTATGATTTTTGTGGTTCATGCTGTGGCCACAGATGTGATCTGATGGTGAGTTTGGGGTAGCCCAATGCAAAAATCCTGAGGATCCATGTGGATCCATGCTTTCTAACCATGTTTTTGCGTCATTGCAGCCCCATGAAACAGTGGGTGCGTGTGTGTTTTTTGGTGCAGGCTGTAGCCATGGATATGCTATGTGATCTGATGGTGAACTTGGGGTGACCCAGTGCAAAAATCCTGAGGATCCATCTGGATCCATGCTTTGTAACCACGTTTTAAGTGGGGAGGGAAGGAAAAGCATTCAAGGGACAAGGAGCACGCGTGGGGTGTGTAGAGAAGGATGTGGCTAATGATGCAGGAGAGGGATTTAAGGGGAGAAGGAACACGCGTGGGGTGTGTGGAGAAGGATGTGGCTAATGATGCAGGCGAGGGGTTAAAGGGGAGAAGGAACACGCGTGGGGTGTATGGAGAAGGATGCTGCTAATAATGCAGGCGAGGGGTTTAAGGGGAGAAGGAACACGTGTGGGGTGTATGGAGAAGGATGTGGCTAATGATGCAGAAGAGGGATTTAAGGGGAGAAGGAACACGCGTGGGGTGTGTGGGAAAGGAGCTTTTCGGCGAGCTGAGCGGGGAGGGGGGAGGGAAAGAGCACTGTTGCTTTAAAGGAGCCAACCGGACAGCAGCCACTTACAGCAGTGTAAGCAGCTCCTTTCCTCTCCCGCTTTGCTCCTTCTCTCCCTCTTTGCTGCTTTACACAGCTAATGGCCCAAGTCCTGCTCAGTGGATCAGCTGAGACGCTGGAGAATCGTAATTTCCCCCTTTCCCTCATCCCGTGCCCTCCTGTCCCCAGCAGCCTTTTTAAAAACTTTTTTACTGGTTTTCACTGCGCTCGTGGCTCAGAGCCCTCCTGTGCCCTGCCGTCCCTCTGCAGCCTCATTGCTCCGTTTAGAGAGCGTTGCTAGCTGAGGCTGCAGCAGCTGTTGCTGGCTACGCGGCGCTTTTTCCGGCTCGCTATGGCTCCCGTCTGTCCCTCCTCGCGTGTAAGCGGCTGCTGCCCGCTTTGCTGCCATGGCTCTCCTTCCCTCCCTCCTCAGCTCCTCCCCCTCCTCCTGGCTGTAAAGCAAGCAAAGCTAGAGCCGTGTAAAGCCCTGCAAGCGGCTCCCTCTTTGCTTGACTGACGGCAGCCATGGCTCCGGTCGAGTGCATTCGCTCCGTAACACACACAGGCATTTTCCCTTACTTTCTAGGAGCAAAAAAGTGCGTGTTTTGGAGCGAAAATTACGGTACTGGACCGAGATTAAGGGTCTCACGCTCTACCAACTGAGCTATCCCTGTCAGCAGCCTTAGGGGAGCCCTGAAATCTGAAGAAGCATGAGACAAACCTTTAGAAGAAACGTAAAAGGGGAACAGCTCAATGAGGACTGCCCCAGTGTACACACCACACATTCAATTTTTTAAATATATATATATATATATTTATAAATTTTCACAAATAAAATACAATTAATCAAACATTTTCCAGTATACGTTCACTTTAAAAGTCAACTTCCCTCTGACCCCTCCATGTCTTTCTCATTATTATCTTTTGATGCTGCACACTGCAACTAATCTATATCTTCTTTTCTCAGCTTTTTTCTCAAAATAACTTTTACTGCTGAACTTACTTCACACCTGCTAGCGTGCTGGCATATTTACAACATTTAAAAAATAATAATCTGCAAACGTTTTCCATTCCTCCTTGAAAACTGTTCCACTTTGTTCTCTGATTTTACCAGTTCAACTTGCTAATTCTGCACATTCCATCAAATTCAACTGCCACCCCCCTTTCATGGGTACTGCCTCCTCATGCCATTTTTGGACATATAAAAATTTCACAGCAGGAGCTGCGTACATAAACTAATTCCTTTGGCTCTTTAACTGTGCAGACATTGGCAGAGGGTTGGACTAGATGACTCTTGTGGTCCCTTCAAGTTCTATGATTCTACAACAGCACCATCGACACATCGGAAGCAGGTACAGTGGTACCTCAGGTTACAGGCGCTTCAGGTTACAGACTCTGCTAACCCAGAAATATTACCTCAGGTTAAGAACTTTGCTTCAGGATGAGAACAGAAATTGTGCTCTGACAGCGCAGCAGAAGCGGGAGGCCCCATTAGCTAAAGTGGTACCTCAGGTTAAGAACAGTTTCAGGTTAAGAACGGACCTCCAGAATGAATTAAGTTCTTAACCTGAGGTACCACTGTATTTTGGCAACGTGACCCGGTGCGAAGACCAGAGAGGGAATGGTTGCTTAAAACCTGTTCAGAGAAACTTAAAAGGCGAGTAAGAAGTCTATAAAACGGCATGGAGAAAGGGAACGCAGGAAAATGTTCCTTCGTCTCTCAGAACACCAGACCTTGTAGACACCCAAGGTAGCTGAATGCTGGGAGATTCGGGACGGATTTAAGGAAGTCGTTCTTCACGCAGTTAAACTACGGAACTCCCTCCCACAAGAGGCAGTGATGGCCACCAACTTGGATGGCTTTAAACTATGTTCAGACAAATTCATAGTGGATTAAGCTTTGAACGGCTGCCTGCCACAATGGCTGTGCTTTGCCTCCACAGTTGCTGGAAACCATGGAAGGGGAGAGGACACTTGTTCTCAAATCCTGCCTTCAGGTTTCCCACTAGAGCATCTGGTTGGCCACTGTGATAACAGAATACTGGACTGGATGGGCCAATGGCCTGATCCAGACAGCTCTTCCTTTGCAGTTTCTGCAGGCCCACTAGAAACACGTTCACTCATAACTCCGGCTAGAATTAGCTCCGCTGGTGCCCTTCACGGGTTCTCGGCTGGCCGGTCAGTGCCCCTTGGGACTCACAGGCCTCCCCGCACTCAGGGCGCACTGTCAAGCGCTCTGACATTTGAGAGTCCTCTGATGCCGGAGCAGCTGATCCTTCCGAGCAAAGCTGCTTTTGCAACGGGGGCACCTGTGCGGTCTCTCTCCGGTGTGGACTTTCCGATGTCTCGTCAGGTTTATCCCCTGAGGAAAGCAGCTCCCGCACTCGAGGCATTTGTGAGGCTTCTCTCCGGTATGAGTTCGCAGGTGGTGCTTCAGATGCGACCCCCGAGAGAACTTCCTCCCGCACTCAGGGCAGCTGAGGGATTTTCCCCTTGCTCGGCTGCTCTGTTGTCCAAGAAGGTCCTTTCTCGGATGAGAGCGTTGCCTGCTCTCCGAGCATTGGTATAATTTGCCCCCCGCATGCCTTCGCTGACAGTCTGGATTCTGCAGGGAGCGATCCACCGCCGCGGGACGTTCAGAACGGTCCTCTCCAGCACATTTTGCAACATGTTTTGATTTAGAGTGGTTCAGTCTACCATACATTGAGAACGAGAGCGTCTCCTCCCTTGTATCTACAGAGCAATTTCCTTTACCTACAAGACCTTCTGAGAACTTGTTGGATTCAGTCTCAGTTTCTAGAGCCTTCTTCCCCTGCTCCCTGTCGCACTCACATCTTTTCTCACACAGCTCGGCTGCCATTGGTCCATTCCCTTGGCCCATATCTGGTTGTGGCTCGGGCTCATTTCCTCCATACTGCGAATCCTCCACCTTGAGCTCACTTCGCTTCCCATCACCTACAGAGACAAAAAGAGGACATTTGGGACTTTTTTCCAGATTCCTGAGACCTCATTGCTTCTGCCTCATATCACCCTCAGAAATTTATATCCTGCCAGGTTATTCCACACCAAATCACCTGATTTTAATACTCGATCACGTCTCAGATTTTGTTCAATTTTTGTGTGTGTACATACCTATGAGACACCCTCAAATTAATTTTTTCAGATTTTTTGGTCCAAAGTTGGACTCAAGAGATTTTTTTTTTAATTTCAGTTTTTGTGCGATTTAGGCTAATGCAATTTCTGTGTCAGTTTAGAAAAAACCTGTTCCACTAATTTTTCAACATACTGGGCTTATTTTGGTGTCAAAATAAAGCTAATTTTTGTCTCTTTAAGGTACAAAAGTGGTATTAAGTGCCAAAAATTCGGAACAAAATCTGAGACGTGAGAGCACATAGCACCAGGTGATTTGGTGTGCAATGACCCTGCCCTGTTTCCCAAACCCACAAATGATAAAGCACTGAAAGCACCCGAAAACATATTTAAAACAATTCCAACACAGAAATAAGACTGGGAAATGATCTCAGCTTAAAAGGTTTGTGGGAAGAAAAAGGTACCAAAAATACCACAGAGACAGTGCCTGTCTAAGGGCCCACTAAATATTTTCTAGGCGTTCCCTTTACCCTGTGAGGCATTTTTTGGGGGGAGGGTGGGCATGGGCAAGAGGACAGAGAAAAGGGAGGTTCTGTTGCAAAAGTGCAAGACCTTGTAGGCTTCTTTGGACACAATGCATCGTAGTTAAACTTGATTTAAATCTTAAGTGGAAAGGAGCTCATTGACATTTCCAGAAGTTTTCTGCACTTTCAGGAAAATAGAGAATGCACGAGGAGTCAGTCCTGTTCTGCATAATTTTTTTGGTTCATCCACTAGTCATCAGGAATGCTGATGAACCTGTGTACAATGACCTTGGGGAGAGGGAAAAAAGAAAGAAAAAAGAGTGGCCTTCAGCTCTGCATGGCAACCCCAGTGTCCTTCTCCAAGGGCAAACACTGCCAACCCCTTACCCATAGCTTGGTCCGAGGGTCGTTCACATTGCACCGAGAACTGGTGGAACATCTCATTCTCCTTTTTGGGGTGGGAGGGGAAATCAGGTTTGGGCGCCAAAAATCCCTCTTGAGTGGAAAAGAGGAACAGAGAGAGAATGATGTCTAGCTCAGTTCAAAACCCAATAAACATGCTTTTCAAAGCTCCTGCAGCTGTGCCTTGGTTTTCGAACGGTTTTGGGAGTCGAACTGACTCCTGGAACGGATTAAGTTCAGGAACCAAGGTACCACTGTATATATAAAAAACTCACACCAACTTTTTATTACAGAAGAATATGTGTTAATCAAATAATAATAGTGCGGAAATGCTCTTTTTTGGAAAGGCATGCATCAGACAAAATTAAGTTTCTTCAGAAGCCTCACGTTTTGCTATGTGCTATCAATTCTATCCATTTTAAGCTGAACAAAGCCACGTTTTGGTTTCTGAACGTTTTAGAAGTCGAACGGACTTCCGGAACTGATTCCGTTTGACTTCCAAGGTATGACTATACAATGAAAGGAGCCACTAATCTAGAAAAGAAAGAGACTAAAGAAAGAAGGAAAAGAAACAGAAACTACAAGATCCTCCCTCCTCAATATAACTTAACAGAGAAAGGTGTGCCCTCTCAGCTGTCACCTGGGCTCATGTTTCACTTCTCAAAGCTGGTTATATCTCCCCTTGCCCATCTCTCACACGGGGTCCTCAAACTGTCATTCCCCTTCATGTGTGTACAGTTCTTACCAAAGTACAATGAGAGAGGGTAATTATATAAGAATAATAATAAATAAAATAAAATAGGACGCGGGTGGCGCTGTGGGTTAAACCACAGAGCCTAGGACTTGCCGATCAGAAGGTCGGCGGTTCGAATCCCCGCAACGGGGTGAGCTCCCGTTGCTCGGTCCCTGCTCCTGCCAACCTAGCAGTTCAAATGCACATCTAAGTGCATGTAGATAAATAGGTACCGCTCCAGCGGGAAGGTAAACGGCGTTCCCATGCACTGCTCTGGTTCGCCAGAAGCGGCTTAGTCATGCTGGCCACATGACCAGGAAGCTGTACGCTGGCTCCCTCGGCCAATCAAGCAAGATGAGCGCTGCAACCCCAGAGTCGGCCACGACTGGACCTAATGGTCAGGGGTCCCTTTACCTTAATAATAAACTACCAAGGGAGATAATAGTTAAGAGAGAGAAAATGGAAAGAAATGGAACTCCATCTGTCAGTTGTGCATGCAGTATTTATTCAAAGGAGTCAAATACTCAATCTAGTTATTCCGCCCTCCTTCTATAGATTCCAAAGAGGGCAATCGGTTATGCCGGCATCTACAGCAGCTCCTGGGGCCTGAGAATGACAAAGCCTTACCCAAGGATTCGGTGCTCCCATCTTCCTCCTGCAAGACTTGCCAGAACATCGTCTGCTGGCCTGGCTGGATCAGAGTCGGCTCCACTAGGTGCAAGGAGACACCTGCCTCCTTGAGGCTCACCAGCCCCTGGAAAAAAGTGAAAGGAACCACCACTGATTTCCCAGTCAGGTCTCGTTGCACAATAAATAGCATTCAGAGCCATTCATTGCACATGGAATAACTTCCATGAGCACAACAAAACTTCCCCTCCTTCTACTCCAAATCAGCTCCAGAGGCCTGGAGGAAATTGGGAGAGGCATGCAGGGGGAGGACATCTCGTTGCGCTCATGAAAGTTGATCCCTGCACGCAGTTAACTTAGTTGGATTCCACCATCTTTGATCCACTTGTAAAGCATAAGGGAGGGGGGGAAACCACTTTTCTTGCTCTCTTTACAGTGCTATTCAAGCCTCACAGGTCAATCTACTACAGTGCAACCTCAGAAGCCAAATGCCTTTGAACTCGAAAGTTTCGGCTCCCAAACGATCAAAACCCGAATGCCTCGTGCGGCTTCCGATTGGCTGCAGGAGCCACACCTTGGTTTCCGAACTGTTCCGGGAGTCAAACGGACTTCTGGAATGTATTAAATTTGAAAACCAAGGTACGACTGTATAAACAATGAGGACTAGGAACTCAAGTAACTCCAGTGCACATGTGCACTAGAAAAATGATTTCGCTTTTTGGCCAACTTGTTTTTAACTTCTGACCTTCATCAAAGACTTTAACGTACATTTTACATTTCATGTGAACTGCTTACAGGTTGTTTTTTTTAATGATTTGTCAGTACCCAAAGTCTGTTAAATAAAGGCTTCTTCCCTCTAAATGAGCCAAAAAAAACCCAAAACCCAAAAAACCCAACAGTTTACCAGGACAGGTATTAGAAAACCAGGAAAGAGGAATCATCGCAGCATCCACTGTTAGCCTGGCTCCTCTATAGTCTTAACACACCACACAGAAAAGCTGACCCACCCAGACTTCTCGTACCTCATTCAGACCTGAGTCGGCCATCCTCTGTCCTTCCGCAGGAGACAAGGAACTAGAGTGACCTGAGCACTTGATTCCGCTGCCTGCAAAGGGCGAGGAAAAATTAGGAATGGGGAGTAAGTTAATCCCATCACCTTTAGGGTGTCTGGGTACAGCAGAGTAAGTTTCCTGTTCTGTTAAGAGTTGCATAAAGGAGAGAAGGGGCAGGTTTTCATGCAGTGACAGGGAAAGAGACCCAAGTCACCAATTCCCCTTTTGGTACAGCTGCCAAAAAATTGCACAGACAGCGCCTTGCTTTTGCTCAGCTTTCTCCTGCAGCAAGACTTCTGCTGTTAAGAGATTAATAATAATAATAATAATAAGCCAGATTTCACAATGCTGCACAAAAATATAGATATATTGTGCTTGGGCTATCGCTCTCTCATGCACACGTATTTATAAAGTTAAAACGATTGCTGCCTATGAACAACTGCATATCCAAAAACAATTAAAAACCCTTACATATATAAAAGTGGATTTCAAATCCAACACAGGCACAGACTGGGATGATGATGATGATTTTGACAATGATGATAATAATAATAATAATAATAATAATAATAATAATAATAATAATAATAATAATAATAACTTCACTGTTTATACCTGGCCCATCTGGCTGGGTTGCCCCAGCCACTCTGGGTGGCTTCCAACACATAAAAAACATAATAAAACATCAAACGTTAAAAATTTCTGATTGCAAGTATTCAGCAAGAAATTGAAAAGGGGGCGGGGGAGAAGAAAGAATCAGGTTTCTAAACCCCTCACGTGGGTGGGATTTATTCATTTCTATGAAATAAAATGGGACGCAGGTGGCGCTGTGGGTTAAACCACAGAGCCTAGGACTTGCCGATCAGAAGGTTGGCGGTTCGAATCCCCGTGATGGGGTAAGCTCCCATTGCTCGGTCCCTGCTCCTGCCCACCTAGCAGTTCGAAAGCACATCAAAGTGCAAGTAGATAAATAGGTACCGCTCCGGCGGGAAGGTAAACGGCGTTTCCGTGCGCTGCTCTAGTTCGCCAGAAGCGGATTACTCATGCTGGCCACGTGAAGGTGTCTGCAGACAAACGCCGGCTCCTCAGCCTATAGAGCAAGCTGAGCGCCGCAACCCCAGAGTTGGTCACGACTGGACCTAATGGTCAGGGGTCCCTTTACCTTTACTTTATGAAATAAAATCTTGACTTAGAAGACCTGGGCAGCCATTCTGATTCCCCAAAACAAAAGATGAACACACCATAGTCCCTTCCTTCTACAAGACTAAGGCAGCCCAGATTTCATCCCTCTCATAATCCCTGAAACTAGAATGACATGAAACACTAATTCGGTGACTTCTTACCCAGCAACCTGATCTCCCCATCGCTTTTCTGCTTCCCTTCGTAGCAGACCTGCTCCTTGGCGGCATCTGAGGGCTCCTCAACTGCATCCAGAGAACCCAGTGGCCCCTGAAACAGGCACAGAAAACCCCTCTCAGAACAGAGGCACAGGAATGATAAGGGCTCTGCGCTCCTAAACCTCCTTCCCCTTCGAGTATTAATTCAAGGAGCTATTCGGACCAAATAAAGCTTACCTATCCAAAGTCCTGCTGGATCAGACCAAAGCCCGTCTTCTCCAGCATTCTGTTCCCACAGTGGCCAACCAGAAGCCTTTAGGAATCGGGCAAGCAGGATCCAAGAGCAAAATTTGTCCTGGTGGCTGCCAATTCAAGGTCAGACCAGAATTCTACTTGAAATTTGGATTTCTCAGCAGTAATTGGTGTTTTATGATTTCACCTGAGTGACATCTGGTGGGAGGGTGTTCCACAGGGCGGGTGCCACTACCGAGAAGGCCCTCTGCCTAGTTCCCTGTAACTTGGCTTCTCGCAGGGAGGGAACCGCCAGAAGGCCCTCGGCGCTGGACCTCAGTGTCCTGGCAGAATGATTGGGGGTGGAGACGCTCCTTCAGGTATACTGGACCGAGGTCTCAGGGTCCCTTCCAACTCTACAATTCTATGATGCTACAATTCTGTGCTGCTGCGGTCTAAGGAATAGCACAATGAAAGTTATTCTATTCTACTGACAAAACGTCTTACACTTTGTAAGAAATTAATCCACCTTTTCATTTAGTTTGACATTCATTTCAAGTGCCAGTAGCAATAATACCAGTGATAAAATGTCAACAAAAACAAAAATGTCAACTGACTATCTAAACACAATGCTTTTTGGTGTTTAATAGGAATATTTTATAATGGTAATGGAGAAGTTGTGAACATTTCATATGGCTGCATGTATGAAACTTCTTGCCAACTGAAGAACAATACGAACATCTTACAAAAAGCTTTCAGAGATGCCCTAATGTAAGTGCAGAAAAATAATGCATCAAAAAGCTATTGGGGTTGGAGGGATTTTGTAAAAATAAGTCAAGAGGCCTTTTGAATTATGAGGCCTTCTTCCACCTGCCTTGCCCCACCATCCAGTCTCTGCTTTTCAATTTGTATTGTATTCTTTTATGCACTGTGACTTGCCGAAGTAGTTTTTATTGATGATAGTTTAGAAAATATTTATTATACTTGTTAATAATAATAATAATAATAATAATTTATTATTTATACCCCGCCCATCTGGCTGGGTTTCCCCAGCCACTGTTAAGAGTGGATTTCTGTTTAATTTTTATATGCTGATATTTAATATTTTTCTTTACTGTTCTAATGGACTGTTGAATATTACTTTATTTGATATAAATTGCTTATTTTAAAGTTATGTTTTATTATCACATTTTTGTATTGGAGTAGATGCTTATAAGGGCTACATTATTTGTTTCTCCAGCTTGTAAACCGCCGTGGGTATTGTAAAATAGAAAGACGGTATACAAATTAAAAGTGAAATGAAATGCAGAAAAGAGAGAAGGAATTTGTTGACAAGGCCTGTATTACCCCACTGAAGCCAGAAAGGTCACTTTCCTGCGTCTGGTAAAAAGTGTTGCCTGGGAAACCAAAAGCTTCCATTTTTACGGCTGCATATGACCTAGAGATGCATGTCTTTTGCTGAGATACATAACTGGGTAACTTCTGAAAGTTAACCTGATGCTTTGGAATTCTTAATTCCCTCAGTGCTAATAACCAATAAAGGCTATTGATTAGCTCAACAACCTTGGTGTGGTTAATTGAAGAAAATTCGCCGCAGCTCCCTGCTAAAAATCCCACCCATTGCTAACTGAACAACTGCAGATAACGCCAATATTCCAGGCCACTGCCTGTTGCTTGAGAGGGACTCCAGGGATGAAAACCCCACCTGCCATTTGTCTGTTTTGCCCACCTGCTGGCCGGCCATCAGGAACTCCTCCACCAGGGCCACTGCCTGCAAACACGACTCCGGTCCTCCTGCTCGGATCCAGCTCTGCAGCTCTGGTGGAAGGCTGGCCAGGAACTGCTCCAGGACCAGCAGCTCCAGGATCTGCTCTTTGCTGCGTCTCTCCGGCTTCAGCCACCGGTGGCAGAGATCCTGCAGCTGCAGGTGGATCCTCCGGGGGTCCTCCACCTGCTGGCAGCAGAACTGCCGGAAGTGTTGGCGCTCGGCCTCCGTCCTCAGGGCAACACCTCGCAAGATGGCCGCCTTCACCTTCCCATAATCCTCTCTGTCTCTGGCTTCCAGGCTCTGGAAGGCCTCGTCTGCTTCCCCGCTCAGCGCAGGGAGGAGCCGGGCTGCCCACTCTCCTCTGGGCCAGCGGCAGGCTTTGGCCACTTGCTCAAAGGAGGCCAGGAAGGCCTGGGCGTCTTCCCAGGGGGCAAACTCGGGCGTCTCTGGGGGGCTTCCCCCTTCTGGGTGAAGGGGCTGCAGGGTCTTCAGGAACTGCTGCCACTGGGCTTCCCATCGCTCTTGCCTCCCCTTGCCGGGTCCCCCTTTGCCGTCTTCAGACGCTCCATATCCTGGTCGCTCGATCGTAATTCCAGGCAGGAGTACCCTGCTTGCTTTTCCTGCTGGGTCTGGTATGAGTTCCAGTTCCGGACCTGTAGATTTTTGCTTCTTCATCGCTTCCAAAGTTCACTGGGGCAATCTAGAAGCCGGTTGATTGACAGGAAACTATCTTTGCTCTCAATCCCTGAAAGTCTGGCCAGGAACACGAAAGAAGGAACAGCTAATTTCTTGGTTGATCTTCTAGTCCTTTAAAGGATTGGATTGTGGTCGATGGGGTTCAACCATCATATACACCACCTGCCCTTGACCATTCCCTGGCAGTGATGCTCAGTGGTTAGGCGATAGTCTTCCTGAGTGAGAAACAATGGACTTAATTTATTAACAAACAACATCCCCAAGGACAAAAGGAATATATTTTTGTATATAACCGCAGCCGCAAAAATACTTATGGCAAAATATTGGAAAACAGAAAAAGTACCACAATTGACAGCATGGCAAGTTAAGATTTGTTATTATTATTTCTTATTGGTAGAAGGCAATGTTAATTTACGCTTCTTTGTTTTGTTGTCTGTATAATTTTCTTAAGTCAATAAAATAAAAATAATAATAAAATAAAATAAAAGTGGGGAGGGAGAGAGGAGACGCAGGGAGAACTGATGACCAAAGCACATACTCTTAAAACCCCAGAAAAAGGACCCAACGTGTGCACGTCTCTATGTGAATTAAAGAAGAGAGAGGCCAATGATCTACCAAGTTCAGCATCTTTAAGTATTTCATTAATTCATTAATTTCCTTGATTGCATTATTATCTTTATTGAATTTATTGAGTTTATATACTGCCTTTCATCAAACAATCTCAGGGTGGTACACAAGATAAGAACATGAGGTGAAATTACAAATAAATACTTAAAACAGAAACAACAAAGCCATAATACATGCACAAACACATTTAAAAGGCTGTAGAGTATTAATCAGCCAAAGGCCTGGTTGAAAAAGAATGTTTTTGCCTGGCACCTAAAGATATACAAGGCAGGTGCCAGGCGAGCCTCCCTGAGGAGAGCATTCCACAAATGGGGAGCCACCGCAGAAAAGGCCCTGTTCTCATGTTGCCACCCTCCGGACCTCACATGGAAGAGGCACACATTTTATAGCCCACTTTCATTTCCAAGAAGCTTAAACTAGCTGACATGGCTCTCCACTTGCTCATTCAGTCCCCACAACAGCCTTGCGAGGTGGGTTAGGCGGAGAGGCAGTGACTGGCACGAGGCCACCCAGCGAAGGTTTTGCAGCCACGTGGGTACATGAACCCTGTCCTCCCATATAAAGTAAGTAGGATATGAATAAACAATGTTTTGTATGGTTAAAGCCCCAGGGTTTGAAGCCTGGCATCTCCAGGTGAGGCTGGGGCTGCCGGCCAGGGCAGACAGTCTTGGGCTGCATGAACCACTGGTCTGGCTTGGTATAAGCTTCCTATGTTAGTAGGATATAAATAAACAACATTTTGCATGCACGTAGGATCCAAGTGAGGCTGGGACCGTCCGTCACCCCGCCTGAAACCCTGGCGAGCCGCTGCCGCTGCCAGCCTGTGCAAGACAGTATTGGGCTGCAGGCAGGCGCTAATGCAGGCAGCTCCTCCAGCTCCCGATGGGACTTCCCTCTCGCAGGACTGCAGGGCTTCTAGAGAAGCTGCCACAGCGACAAAGCCGGAGAGATCCCGGTTCCTACCGCGATCGATGGCGATCCCGGCGCTGCTCCCCGCTCGCTCAGCTCCGTTTCGGCGCCCGCGAACTACAATTCCCTGGCGCCGTCCCCGGCTGGAAGCGGGGCGTCGGAGGCTGCAGGCGGTCCCTGCAACGGCCCCGATCTCTCGCTTTAAGGCTGCAGCCTCCTCCTCTTGCTCGGTGGTTTAATGGCGGAGTGGCAAGAGGCAAAACCCGGAGGATTCACACGATCGCCCCCTTCTGAACGCCGGGATGCATGCAACTCTCCCACGCCAGCTCCGCCCCGAAGCACGCGAGGGAGAGGAAGAGGAGCGCGCCTTAAGAGGGACGGAGAGGAGGCAAGGCTGGGATCCGCGGCTGCAGCATCGTCCTCCGCAGGGATCGGGGTCCCCTCGCCCGCCAACCTCCCGGACGGAGCCTTTTTTGGCAGCCATTCGGAGGGAGCCGAGCAGCCGGGAGAGTTTCAGCAGCCTCCTTGCCGCTTCAGATATGGCTCTATGGGAAACGTCTAGTTGGAGGGGGGTCCAAGGGTCGTCTAGTCTAACCCCACGCAATTCTGGAATCTCAACGAAAGCAAGGTCATGCAACCACCCGAGGGAGCCCGTTCCACTGCTGAACAGCTCTGTATTTTATTTGTTTTATGATTTTCAGTTAAATACATTTCAGTAGTTTTACAACAACAACAATTAATATGGGCGGCTTCTAACAAAATATTAAAATACAATATTCTGTTAAACATTAAAAGCTTCCCGGGTTGTTGGTTTTTTTTGTTTTGTTTTGTTTTGTTTTGCTGTTTTAATTTAACTCATTCCTTTATCCAGGTACTTTAAATACAGGTAAAAGGTAAAGGTACTTTAAATATATACTCCTATGAAACTGCAGGTTATTACAATAATCCTGCTCATTTCCTTATCTGTTTACAGCTTATTTGTAAATATTCAATTTCCATTCTTTTATAAAAAGTTTGTTATCTTGATTACTTTCCCCCGCTATTTCTGCATACTGCACCAGTTTTTGTATCCATACTTATAGATGACCCTACAATTCTATGATTCTGTGACCTGCCCACTTCATCCTAAGGTCCACAATTTTGGGGCTGCTACAAAAAATGCCCAGGAGGTCAGCTCCTCCTGCCAGGGAGAAGGTGGAAGAACTACCAAGAGGGCATTCTCTGCCAATCTCAGCACCTGAGGGCCCTGTTTAAATGAGATGCTTATCGGGTGCTTTCTGAATACTGCAGAAATAAAGAGGATAAGGATGATAGTCTTAAGCACGTATCCTCTTAAAATCCTTGGTGCATGTGTTGACTCCTCCCTTCCTTTCCTCTGTTTCATTTTTAAAAAAAATATATTTATTAGGTTTTTACAAAAGAAAAAGCACATAACTACCACAAAAGCGAAGAGAAACAAAACATAATCAAAGATACGTATAAAACAAATCAGAACAATAGAATACAGAAAAATAAGATTCCACCCAACAAAATACAAAACATAAAAACTCCAACTTTTAAAATCATACTTAATTAGCTTCCTTTCTTGACTTTCTCACGCCTCCCTTTTTTGTGTTCCCCTTTACCCAATCAGATATAGCAAATCCTTACCCTCTTTCAAATCTCATTTCTAATTTAATAATTCAATCTATTATGTCTCCAATCTTTCCTCCTTATACTTAAACACCTTTAAAATGTTATTTACTTTCGACATAATATAACTTTAGTCTTTCACCCTTTTCTGTAGCCTTTTTGCATACTTTTTTAAACTATATCACTAATGCCATATTATTTCCATATCCAACATTATTTTAACATTCATAAACTTTGCAGTATTTCTGCAGATAATCTTTAAACTTCTTCCAGTCCTCTTCCACTAATTCTTCTCCCAGGTCTCGGTCCTTTCCTCTGTTTCATCACCATCTCAATATATGCCACTTTTAAATAAATTTATCCTTCCCGGCTTCTACAAAGCCACTTCCGGCTTGCCCAGGAGGTGGGGTTGCGGGCTTCACGCCCACCCCACGTGAGCGGGGGCTGGTTGCAGCCCCCGCGAGAGCAGGGGAATCCTAGCCGGGCCTGCCCCCCCCCAGCCAGCCAACCAGCTGGCTGGGGGGGGCGAGGCCTGTCCTATTTAGGGCCGGTGCTGAGGCCCTAAATAATAAATAATAAACAATAAATAATAAATAATAATAATTTTTTATTGCTCGTGTGGCGGTAGGCATTGGTAAGAGGGGGTTAAGAGGATGTGGGGGGGGAGGAACGCCATCACCTCCCCCCAGTGAGCGAAGGGTGGTCCGTGAAAGGACTCCAGGGGGCGAGGCCCTGTCCGAAGCCTATGGAGGTGAGGACCAAAGGCACGCCCCAGAGCGGTGACCCGGGGGAGCTCCTAGTCGACGTGCCTCGGCAGGAGACTCCCCCGATATAGTGTTAACCCTTCCCCGTGTCTCCAGCAAATGGGCTGGAGCCGGATAGTCGTTAGGACCAATGCCTAAGCCAATGCCTCTCATTCCTGAATTCAATAAAGTTGTGGCCTAATTCGCCCAATTAACCTTATATTATGGTGTCTCGTGTCTTTATCCTGGTGGGGGGCGGGAACTCGCCACGCAATAGCAGGCTGATCTGTCCTCTTTTTTTCTTCCCTCGTGGTATTTTACACTTCCATTCTCTCTTTTTCATTCAGGTAGAAACTTCTCTTGGGCTGCTATGGTTCTCTAGAAAATTACAGCTCTGTTGTTGCCTGTCAAATTTCATCAAGCCTGAGTCATCTGCTGTTGGAGTGCCAGCAAGATTTCAAAAGTTTGAGTGACAGCAAATTTTGGGGGTTTTCATTTTTGGCCAGAAATCAACTTCCTGGAAGGGTCGTCACTTGCTCTCTAGATTTGAGTAGAGATAAAAGAGAAAGGCATGAAGGAGCCAAAATCTGCAGGTCCAGAACTGGAACTCAGACCAAACAAAGCAAATGGCAGCCACAAGGTTGACTATGCCACCGAGCGACCAGAATGTGCGGCCCCCCAGCAAAAGATATTCAGTGCCCATCCTGCTTCTCATCACCTGATTTTCACATAACCTTCATGTTTCATTGGCATCATGCACAGAGAGAGAAATAACTGAAAAAGCCTGGCAAAAGGATGTTTCAGGCATCCTGAAAAGAGGTCTCTAGAGCATGGGCAAAATTATCTCTCTGTCTCTGCAGGTGATGTGAAGTGAAAGGAAAGGAAGTGAGGTCAAGGTGGAGAATTCTCAGTATGGAGGAAATGAGCAGAGGACACACCCTGGACTCCCCTGGAGATAATCCTCGGGAATGGGCTAGAGCCCAGGAAGATTAAGGAGGAAGGATGCTGATTCAAAGATGGGAAGAACCCTGTGGAATGCAATGAGCTCACAGAAGGCCCTGCAGTTGTCATTAGCCAGACCTTCACAGTTGGCAAAGGGGGGCGGCGGCCTTGTTCTCCAGCTGAGGCTACCAATCAGAATGATGCAAACAGTGGAGGACGAGAATGAGCATCCCATGTCACAGGAAGATGTCCGGCAACAGCAGAGAACAAGAGGAGGAGAGAGAAAAGGTGAATTCTCTTGGACTAGGAAAAGAGGTAACTTGACTAGACATCCGGGCCACCAATGCAAGCGAAGCCTCATAATTCTCCTGAGTGTACACAGAGGTTTATTTCCACAAAGTCAATCAAGGGAAGCGGAGGCAAGTCCTACAAATGTTCTCATTGTGGGAAATGCTTCAGGCTAATTCATCGTTTGAAGGAACATCAACTGATTCATACTGGAGAGAAACCACATGAATGTTCTCAGTGTGGGAAAGAGATCTGTGGAGACATCAGACTGTCCATAGTAGAGAGGAATCCTACAAATGTTTTCAATGTGGGGAATGCTTCAGTCAGAGTGGAGCCCTGCTAGAACACCAGAGAACTCACAACAGAGGTTCCTCAGGCCTTAAAGGTGTTGACATTGGTACAGCGTTACTGGATGAGGCCTGGAATATTTCTTGGTCATTTAATAAGTTTTCATTTAATCTCCATCGCATTGGAAAGTTTTGCCCTGTTCTTAATTCCACAATAATAGAGGCCTGGAATGCTTGAAGTACGAGGCCTTTTTAAGACAATGTCAGCCAGAATTCAAAAAGCAACGTTTTAAGTTATTTCAATCTTTTTGTTCTTCATGATCCAATCTCGTGTTCGGCCTCAACTGATTCATTGTGACCTGGATTCCCACTTGCACCCGTGGCACACATGGAGGTTGTAGGTCACCGGAAAACAACGGGATTCTGCATGAAATGCTGGCTAGAAAATATATGAGACATGGCATTGTTAGAAAGAGTTGGCTTACAAAAGTTGTATTGTTAGAGGAATTGCCAAAAATAGTAGAAGCTTGATATAATACGGTGACCCTTTATATTTTGTGCAAATAAGGGTGAGAAATAATTATAGCCTCCAGTGAGGCAAGTCATGTCACGGAGGGCTGCTATCAAGAGACTTAGGTTGTTCTCCTTTGAAATACTATGTCTCAATGTTGTTGTATGCATTACTCTAATGTACTTTGTCAATTTTGGTACCCTTTTCATATCTTGTTTTTATACAGTATCAATAAAAATTAATTTGCAAAAAGAGTGTGAGAGATCATACTGGAGAGAAGAGGCATGAGAAACCATGTGAATGTTCTTGGTTTGCAAAAAAAAATCTGTGACGAAGTAAATTTGAACAGACATCCAAGAACTCACAGTGGAGAGAGATGATCTGATATTCTCATAGTGGTAAATAACTTCAGTGAGAGAGGAGAGTGGAAGAAACGAGGGAGTTCATACTGACCATATAAATGTTCTTGGTGTGCAGAAAGTTTCAGCTGGAATAATTGGGGTACCCATTCCTGGAGAGAGAGTTCAAATGGCCTGAGAAACGTTTCTTGACAAGACAGATAGATTGATTGGACATCAAGAAACCCATGGGAAAGAGACCTTATGAATGTTCCTGAGTGTGGGAGGAGTTTTGTTTGGACCAGGGTTTCCTCAACTTGGATCTCCAGCTGGTTTTGGACTTGCATCATCCCATGCTAGCAGGACCAGTGATTATGGAGGATGGAGACTGTAGTCCATAAACAGCTGAGACCCAAGTTTGCAAAACCCTGGTTTGGACAGATAAAATGGATCTACAAACCACACGATATATGGACCTCATGGGCATTTGGTTGGCAGCCCTAAGTTCCTGACCCCTATTTTTATGTATAGTGTATTAAATTCTACCCAAAGCAGTTATGGCTAATGTCACCTTATTAGTGGCAAATGGACTGATGTCGGCTACAGTCCAAAGAACGCTGACTGAAAGGTAAAGCACTGCTTCACCTTGACAGGACCAATGGCTCAGTTGATTAGACTCTAGAGCATGGTGCTGATAATGCCAAGATTGCAGGTTCAATCCCTGTATGGGACAGCTGCCTATTCCTTCATTTCTGGGGGTTCGACTAGATGATCCTCGGGGTCGTTTCCAACTCTACTATGATTCTAATAAATCTGCTGTAGATGAAACCATTCCTCCTTTCATTGCTTTCCTGAAAAGATTTTCCGATTTTCCTTGGGAGCCCAACCCAGGAAAGACATAGAAAACTCTGTAGTTCACAGTGAAGGGATCACGAATTGCTGTTGTTGTTATACGCACCATAGGGTATACCAACTAATAGTGTGTGTTGAAGGAGAAACATTGACAAAAAACCAGAAAGCATGAGTTCAAAAGAAAGCAGGTTGGAGAAGCATCCAAAATAATGAGACAGGATTTGACTGCTCATTGGAACACTGTTTTAACTTTCAGAGTGTTATCATAATTGGGGAGCAACTCCCCTGTGGAGAAAGGTTGCAGAATTTAAGGCTTTTTAGCTTAGAGAAAAGGTGAGCAAGAAGTGACATTAGAGAAGTATTTTTCTCCCTCAATGCACTAGAACTTGCAAGCATCTCACAAAACTGGGTGCTGGAAGTTTCAAGGAAGACAGAAGAAAGTCCTTCTTCACAAAAGGCAGAATTGAACTAGGAACTTGCTCCCAGGGGAGAAGGGAGGGAGAGATGGCCAACACCATTGAAGGCTTTAAAAGAGGACTGGACAGATTTCTGGAGAAGACTCTCAGTGGCTTCTAGCTGTCATTTGTTGTTGTTTAGTCGTTTAGTCGTGTCCGACTCTTCGTGACCCCATGGACCAGAGCACGCCAGGCACTCCTGTCTTCCACTGCCTCCCACAGTTTAGTCAAACTCATGCTGGTAGCCTCAAGAACACTATCCAACCATCTCGTCCTCTGTTGTCCCCTTCTCCTTGTGCCCTCCATCTTTCCCAACATCAGGGTCTTTTCCAGGGAGTCTTCTCTTCTCATGAGGTGGCCAAAGTCTTGGAGCCTCAGCTTCAGGATCTGTCTTTCCAGTGAGCACTCAGGGCTGATTTCCTTAAGAATGGAGAGGTTTGAACTTCTTGCAGTCCATGGGACTCTCAAGAGTCTCCTCCAGCACCATAATTCCAAAGCATCAATTCTTCAGTGATCAGCCTTCTTTATGGTCCAGCTCTCACTTCCATACATCACAACTGGGAAAACCATAGCTTTAACTATATGGACCTTTGTTGGCAAGGTGATGTCTCTGCTTTTTAAGATGCTGTCTAGGTTTGTCACTGCTTTTCTCCCAAGAAGCAGGCGTCTTTTAATTTTGTGGTTGCTCTCACCATCTGCAGTGATCATGGAGCCCAAGAAAGTAAAATCTCTCACTGCCTCCATTTCCCCCCCTTCTATTTGCCAGGAGGTGATGGGACCAGTGGCCATGATCTTCGTTTTTTTGATGTTGAGCTTCAGACCATATTTTGCACTCTCCTCTTTCACCCTCATTAAAGGGTTCTTTAATTCCTCCACACTTTCTGCCATCAATGTTTTGTCATCTGCATTGTGTCATCTGCATGGGAGTTGTAGTCTTAGGCAAACAGAGGACACCAGGTTGGCAATGCTGAAAGCGTCTGTTTCAGTCTGAAGTTCTTTGCCAGCATGCTAAAAACAGATTAAGTTAAAATTAGCAACCAGACTTTTAGGAGTTTTCTTCATGGAATCAAATCCCGCTTGCTAAATCAAAACTCCCATCAATTTATAGCAGCAGCAGATTTTCTCCAATTCAAAAATTACAAGAAAGCCTACGAATGAAAATGTTAGTATGAATATCCCAAATTACTAGGTACGTGTGTGTTTGTGTGTAATCAAAAGCATCGGAAGCAATCCTTAAGCATTCGCTGCTCCTTGAGGAAACATTCAGCAGCTGCAAAGACCTGGGGACATTTAAAAAGAAAAAAAGGTCACGTGGTCACTGAGTCATTTCCAGGAAAGGAAGCTCCTGGTGACTAAAAACGGAGAAAGTGAAACTTAACTCGGGACTTTGGCGTGAGGGAGCCATGGCTGCTGCTGGGCAACAGAATCTGGTCCAGAATCTTTGTGCTGAATCCACTTGCTCCATCTGCCTGGAATATTTCAAGGATCCAGTGATCATCCCAGAGTGTGGGCACAACTTCTGCCGGTCTTGCTTGATCCAGCGCTGGGGGAATCGGAGGCAGAGGCTTCCTGCCCTCAGTGCAGAGAAACAGTCCAGCAAAATAATCTCATCCCCAACGGGCAACAGGCAAACTTCTTGCAATTAATCAAGAATCTCAGCATTCTAGGAAGGAAAGAAGAAGAAAGAAAAGGAGGAGTCTGCGAGGAGCATCAGGAGCCCCTCAAGCTCTTCTGCAAAGTCCATGAAGCCCCCATCTGTGTGGTGTGTGACAGATCCAGGATACATGAAAATCACAAGGTGATTCCTCTGAAGGAGGCTTTGGAGGAATACAAGGTAGGAAATCCCTGGATCTTGAGGGGGAGAAATAGCTGTGGATTCTTCTTTTTAATTCTCATATCCAAATTAGGCATGGCATTAAGTGGTGGTTGTTTGTTATGTAAAAAGCAGCCAAGGGGAAGCCTGAGGGCTCCTGGAATGGCTGGGAGGAGGAAGTTGAAGTCTTTCTCTCTGCTGGGTGTGACAAAGGGATCTTTCCTTGAAATAATCACAGCAGCTTCAAAGATTTGAACTGGGACCATGGTGGGGAGAGAAAGGGTTAACCTCGTCCACATCCCCCAGCAAGGTTGCTTTGTACTTATTAAGAACACTACAAGTGTAAATTGCACATACACAACTAAGTACATGTCTCCCTTGGCTAGCAGGATGCTTCCTCAATGCCCTGCAAAGCAGAGAGCAGCAAGGGATCAGCTGGGGGGGAGGGGGGCTGGGGGCCAGGAATTGACCAGATGGTGCAGGATCCCCTCCCCAAGTATCTGTTGGAAGCAGATTTAGGAGTGGGGGTGGAAGCACCTAATGCTGGGGAGCACGCTTATTCTGGGGGTGCTGTGGGGCCTGTGCAATGAGGTTTCAGCAGGGGGGGGCTGAGGATCTCCTCCCATCCCAAATGGCAAAGGACTCAATGGTTCAGAGTAGCATCTGCAAAGACAAGGGGAAAATATGACTTTTTGATGGCAACTCGAATTGGACCTGTGCTATATATATGTGTGTGTGTGTGTGTGTGTGTGTGTGTATAATGCCTTTTAATCCCTTTAAAAAAATCACTTGTTCTACTAAAGGTAAAAGGTAAAGGTACCCCTGCCCGTATGGGCCAGTCTTGCCAGACTCTAGGGTTGTGCGCTCATCTCACTCTAGAGGCCGGGAGCCAGCGCTGTCCGCAGACACTTCCGGGTCACGTGGCCAGCGTGACGAAGCTGCTCTGGCGAGCCAGAGCCGCACACGGAAACGCCGTTTACCTTCCCGCTAGTAAGCGGTCCCTATTTATCTACTTGCACCCGAAGGTGCTTTCGAACTGCTAGGTTGGCAGGCGCTGGGACCGAACGACGGGAGCGCACCCCGCCGCGGGGATTCGAACCGCCGACCTTTCGATCGGCAAGTCCTAGGCGCTGAGGCTTTAACCCACAGCGCCACTCGTGTCCCGTGTTCTACTACAGTGGTTCAAAAATGCTTCTGTGCCATGCAATGCAAATAATGTCAGCTCTGCAAGCAAGGGGTGACCTAACTGGGTCCCTGAGCCCCACAGGGGTGCCGCAGAAAAGAAGGTATTGGTCCAGAAAGGTTGAAAACCTATGGACTTTTATTTCCTTCAATATACTACTTCGCAAGGCCACTGGGTGCAAGAAGCCAGTATAACATCTATCAACTCTCTGTCTGTCTCAATCAAACCTGAGTTTTTCATTTTCTCTTTAGGGAGAGATCTGTAGCAGCCTGGAAATTCTGAGGAAAGAGAGAGGGGAAATTTTGGCCCATCAAGCAGCCCTGGACAAGGAAAGCAAAGACCTCCTTGTAAGTGTCTTTATTGTTACTAGACAGGGAACAAGCATTTGAAAAATCAAGTCAGGACTGAGGAGGGATGAGGAAATTTGCCCATTTCAGCTTCTCTGCATTTCTCATTTTTCCATTTTGTCTGCTTATTCATTTATTATTCTGAAAACGAATCAGATGTTAGGGTAGCTACCTCCTTGTATAAATATTTTAATACGTACTTTACCCTACATCCGTGGCTAGAAAAAATGCTCCTTCCTTTAGGCTGTAGCCCTCTGCAAAACAGAAGTCAATAGAAATAGCAATGGAGAGGGCCTCCCCTCAAAATAAAGGTTTACTTCTTTAGCCACTGGAGGTTTCATGTCTCCAAAAAATCAGAAGTGTCCTCCCTGTGTAATTCTCACAATTCTCTTCCTGATGATTTGAAGGCTGAGCACCTTCCACACCCAGACCTCCTCTTTTCTTGCAGAAATTAACAGAAACAGAGAGGCTGAAGATTGTGGAGAAGTTCAGAGAACTGCGCCAGTTTCTGGAAGAACAGGAAAAACGTCTGCTGACTCACGTGGAAGAGGTGGAGAAGGAGATTGCAGGGAGAAGGGATGAGCAGCTGGCCAGACTCTCCAGGAAACTCTCCTCTCTTGAGGAGATCATCCAGGAGATGGAGGAGAAGAGTCAGCAGCCAGCGAGTGAACTCCTGCAGGTAAGATGGTGGCCGGAACAGCCCAAGGCTCCAGGAGAAGGCTGCCTCCAATCCTTCATGTGCCCCTTTCATGTATGCAAGGAGTGTAGGGGCTGAGTTGATGGAGCCTCTAGTCAGGTTTGTAATGGACAGGAAGACCCGAGAGACCTGGGATGCTTAACTCACCTGAATGCAGACTAGAGATTCGTCTGTGTTCTTGATGGAAAGGGAGGTGCTTTTCTGTTCTTCGCTGATGATCTGTCTCTGAATGCCTCCCAGTTTGGCAATCCTGCCTTCATGCCCTGTGCTGGGTTTCGTCTAGGATGCGTTCAGGGCTCCTTCCAACATGAGCCAGTCTCTTGACCAAGCTTCTCTTCCCGTTCCCTCCATGACTTGTGGGTTGATCCCCTTCCCCATGGATACAGATTGGCCCAAAATGGTGCTCAGTCACAGTGACCAAAGAGCAAGACAGAGGGACTCATCCAGACTGCTGCTTGTCCCACCCCTTTCCTCCAGGAAAACCCACTGTTTACTGCTGAATTAGAGCAAACCTCAGCCAGGTTTTCTCTGGATTGACGTTTGCTTTGATGTTGCAGTAAGGAGCAGGTTTTTCCTGAGGGAAAGCGGCAGGGCAAAGACAGAACCACTTGGACTCGTGTTTTCTGGGCACAGGAAAAGCAGAAGTGTGGGTGAGCCCAAAGAAACACTGAGCTGTTTTATTACCCCTTTGGAGGCATTTTATGCTGCAGGTACTTTTTTAAATTTCCAGATGGAAAATAGAATTTGAAATTTGGAGACTTCTATGGAAGACAATTTGGGACAATGTCCTAGTTGGATTATCCTTTAGGCTTACTTATGTCTGAATTGCACAATGCAAACTGGATTAAATTAATAAATTATAATCTAAGACAAGAGATGGGGTATAATCTTCTCTTGAACCCACAAACGTGAAATTTCCCTAAAATGCTGGTTGATTTTCAAAAGGATTCAAAAAATTAATTGCAAACTGATGTAGAAATGTGGAGAACTTGATATCGGCAAAATTCATAATTTCAGATTGGAACAATAAAAACTGAGAGAAACAAAAACTGGCTGATTCTGCCATCCTTACCCAAAAGCTTGCCATGTGCCAGGCAGACTGACATCTGAGGGCCAGAGTGTTCAGGGTCTGAGGGGGTCTTCGTAGTGTGACCTGTGGTGTGCAGTGAATTCCCTTCTCTTTTCCCCTCCAGGATATGAGAAGCACCTTGGAGAGGTAAGTGGATCTGGCTCATTTCCATTAGCATCACTCCATGAGGCTGGGATGCAAGAACCTTAAACATGGCCCTCCAGGGGCTGCAGGGGGGAGATTGTAGGCCTCACTGCCTGCAGCACCTCGCAGGTAAAAGCAGGGGACCCTATTTTGGACTTGTAGCCCCCCAGTTCTCCCACCAAGGATCAAGGCCAGAGCACTGCCTCCTCCCTCCCCACATCACTTCACAAAGGGATGGGGGCTCTTTTATTTCTCTTGCACTTTCTATTCATGGACTTTTTGGTAATTTCAATCATCTGAGGAGTCCGTAGTGAGGAAGAATCTCCCCACTCACTGCCTGCCTGTCCCTCTGGGCTTCCTCCAGTCGGCTTCCTCCTCTCAATTCCTTTCTTTTTCTTCACCAGAAATTGTGGATTTGAATGGACTGATATTGTTTTTCTTTTCACCAGATATGAGAAAAGAGAGAACAGAGAAGGAGAGCCACTGGCTTTCCCTCCAGAACTGAGGAACAGGATCTTGGAATCCTGTGATGTAAATCACTTTGTGGAAGATGCAATGAAACAATGGAAAGGTAATGAAAAGTGGCTGCCAGGGATTTCACACTGGGAATTGTATCAATGTCCTGATTCACATGGAACCTCACTTGTTTCCCTCCACACAATCTGGAGAGGTTGTTTGGGGCTTCTTCAGATTTGCTTAGATTTTCCCCTCGTGAAGTGTGTTAAAAAGGGCACCCGCAAGCACCCAGTCCCTCCTCCACCTCCTGGCTGGCTGGTCTCCCAGCAGCAGAGCAAGACCTGAGCCGCCTCTTGGTCAGAGTTTCAACCTCACCAGCCATTTCTCGTGCTTCAGCCATCCCAATCTCCTCAGAGTTTCCACACTTCTTATGAGATCAGCCCTATTCCAGGAGGGAAGACTCCCCATTGCACGAGACCCTTGGAATTACATGGTAAAGCTCTGCTGATTCTTCCTCTGCAATTTGGTTTGTCACCATGCTTGGAAATGCCAGTTTCAACAGCTTTGTGCCCACCAGTTTACTTGGGGCAGATGTTAACCTTCCTCCAGCCCTCCAGTACAGATCCTCGTTTTATTTGTAGATTTTGAATGATTGTATTCTGCCATTTTCTAGTATGGTTTAGCATTTCTGATTTTCCCATGGAATCATGGAATAGTAGTTTGAAAGGATCCCAAGGACCATCTAGTCCAACCCCCTGCAATGCAGGAATTACAGCTAAACATGCTAGTTGTTTTAATTCCTTAGGCCTACAGTTGTTGTCTTTGCAATTATTTGTTCTGTCATTTAATCTTTTGTGTGAAATAAGGAAGCAACAGATGCTATGTTATGGTGATGTTTTGTAAAAAGATTTTTTTGGGGAGCTGTTGCGGTGTAGCCCATTAAGCCTGTCTTTTTGCTTCCTCAGATGTTCAGTCATTCAGAAATCTTCAGAAAGGTAAATTTCACATGGAGACCCCAATTCACAGGGGGGGGACTAGTGTTTCATGGGGGTCAAGAGTCTCTTCTGTACAGCTTGACTCGGGCCCTGCTGTTTGTACCACAAAGGCAGAGAGGGTGGACTTGAAGGTGCAGCAGGGGGGGGGAGAAACTGCCCAGAAAAATCAGAAAAAAGAGGGAAGAGTTTCATCCCTGCCTAGAGAGAGTTGGGTTGCTTTTCCATGTGACCTTTTTCAGGCTTGGTTGCCACATGTCCTCTTTTTCTCAGACAGGTCGTCTATTTTCATGATAAAAATTTCTCCCCTGGCAGATCTTTGAAATTTGGCAAAATGTCTCAAGTTTTTTTGTTTGTTTTTTTGGTTTACAGTAACCCATGAAATTTTTCTCATGCATTAGACCAGGGGTGTCAAACTCAAATTCATCGGGGGGCCGCATCAGCAGTTTGGTCACTCTCAAAGGGCCGGTTGTATCTGTAGGACTATACATCATATGTACTTACAGTACAGGAGAGAAGGGTTCAGGCAGCCGTTGGATCTGTCACATCACAGGATGGCATGCGCTCAATATAAAAACAAGTGGAGGTTTCCTGAATGCATGTAAAGTGGAGGTTTCCTGTGTAGAATGGTCGGCGCCGCTAGAGGGCAGACGTTCTCTGGCTTGTAGGCTGCCGCGCATGCGCTGAAGAGGCGGCTTTCTTGTGTCAAAAAAAAAAAAGCAAGAATAAAAGGTGAAGGCTGGTGGCCAGCGGCGGCTACACGGGCCACATGACGAGGTCTGGCGAGCCGGATTCGGCCCACGGGCCTTGTGTTTGACACCCGTGCATTAGACTCGCATCTAAGGCACCCGGCTAAGCTAGTTTGCGATTTTCACTTGTGGGGGGCACGAGGGCCCAGAACGTGACCCCCGCGAAAGTGAGGGGACGCCTGTATATGTTTTTATGTTGTATTTTTATGCTGTGAACCACCCTGTGACCTATGGGTGACAGGCAGTATGCAAATGTAATTGATGATGATGATGATGATGATGGAGGAGCCCTCATCTCCCATCCCAACCCAAAGGCCAATTCCCACAGAGATGGTCAGAGGAAAGCAGCTTCTCTCCTCTCCTGCCTCCTCCAATTCTCCTCTCTTTCCCCTTCACTAGCACAGATAAGATGAGTTGGTTTTACTAGTTGGTTTTTTCTCTTAGAAAATGCCTGGGTTGAGAGGAGGGCAGGCACAATACACATTGAATATAAGAAAGTGGAGAAGACTGATTTAAAAACCAAAAAGGAAGATATTCTGATGAGAGTCTGCAAGGAGGAGTCTTAGTCATGCATGCGATGGAAAGAAATCCCATAGACCTGAAAGGGAATATGGTTTTTGGGGGTTGATTTATTATTATTATTATTATTATCAGGATGTCTGTTTCTGTCTCTCAGCTGACTCTGCCTAATCTTCTCTTTCCCTCATTTCTCCTCAACAGCAAATGTCACTCTGGATCCAGACACAGCCCATCCCAGCCTCATCCTGTCTGAGGATCAGAAAAGCGTAAGATGGGGAGAGAAAGAGCAAGACCTGCCCATCAGTCCTGAGAGATTCAGCAGCTGGCCTTGTGTGTTGGGACATGAGGGATTCACAGCAGGCAGACATTTCTGGGAAGTCAATGTGGGAAGTGAGGAAGAGTGGGCTTTGGGGGTCACTAGAAAGTCTGTGAGGAGAAAGGGCCTATTCTCCTTCAGTCCTGGTGGAGGGATCTGGGCTTTGGAGAATTGGGAAAGCGAGTACTGGGCCTTCACCTCCCCTGATTACTCTCCTCTGTCCCTGAGTGAGAAGCCCAGGAGGATCCGGGTGACTCTGGACTATGAAGGGAGGGAGGTGTCTTTTTATGATGCCGACTCAGGAGCCAAACTCTACACATTCTCAGGAGCCTCGTTCTCTGGAGAGACCCTCCTCCCTATCTTTTTTCTGTGGGGATACCAAACATACCTCAGTATCTCCTGAGGAGACTAAATCTGCCTCTCAGGCCAAGCAGGAGTTTCCCTCCAGACCAAAATGACTGATATAAAAACATTTACCTGCCAAGGGCACTTTCGGCAGTTTTTCCAGTCAAAATCAGCAGAAATAACGGGAAAAGGGGGGGGGGTTGTTGTTGCTTTGCATTTTCCTTCCTTTTTCCAGAATTCCATCTGCAGTTTCTTCAAGAGATAGTCACACATTTAACAGTCCCAATAAACAATATTTTCCTCAAACGGGCTCCCTCACCTTCAATCTTGTTTTCCTTTTGAGACATCTGATTTGGCAGAGCACGAGACTCTTAATCCCAGGCTTGTGGGTTTGAGCCCCACATGGGGGAAATGTTTCCTGCACTGCAGGTGATGAGACTAGATGACCCTCAGGGCCTCTCGCAACTCTGCAATTCTAGGAAACCTTCCTCTCCCCACAAGACCTTATGCAGCTGTGAAAATGCATACATTATTGGATTAATAGAGGGCTAAAAAATGAACCCCTTCATCCACGTCAGGCAGAATAGCTGCTTGCTCTGGAGACCTCAGAAGGGAAGAAAATGAAATTGAACAGGGTGTCAGCTTCAAATATTGTCTGCAAATACAGCCTCACCATCTTCACACTGAGCCCAGTTATATGTGTTTTGAGTGGATGCATTAACGTTCCTTATTTACAGGCTGGATTGTGTATATTAGGGGCATCAAATGGGGTGTCCTCTGGATAATGCTGGACTCCAACTCCCCTCCAACCCATCCAGCATGGCCAGGGGACAGAGAGGATGGGAGCTGCAGTCCAGCAGCTTCCGGAAGGGGCCCCATGGGCTGTGCTGCCCTATATATTTCGCAGGGCACCTTCCCTGTGTTCCTCAGTCCCACCCCAAATACACAATGCTCCCGCAAGGAGCGTCTTTTCAGCACCAGGTGCATCTGATTTCTCTCCTGGAATACTAATAGCTAGAACAACAAATGCCTATGGAATTGACCACTCTCAAAGATCAGACAGGACTCACTCTGGCTCCACTATTGGCACCGCCGACTACTGACCACTGCAGCCTGCTCTCCTTTTCCTGAAATACAGCTTTCCCCACCTCCCTGAGGGCCACTTCCCCTTTCTCCCTCTCCTATATGTTGTTGGCTACGTTTGTGTGTGATCATAAGTTTCCCTGTGAGCCTCCACTCACCCCATGGAAGGAAGGACACAAAAGTGGCCCACTTGGTCCAGCGCCCAAGAGGGGCCACCCAGACACTTGCGGAAAACCTGCAAGGAGGACCAGAGAGCAAAACCAGCCTCCCCCCGCGGCTTCCAACAACTGAGATTTAGAAGCCTGCTGCCTCTGAACTGTGGAGGCAGAGCGGAGCCATTGTGCTTAAGAGCCATTAACAGCCTATGCTCCGTGAATTTGTCCCTTGTCTTGTTCCCCAGTTTGGTGGGTGGAGCATGATAGTCTTAATCTAAGGGTCACCGGCTTGAGCACCACGTTGGGCAAAAGATTCCTGCATTGCAGAGATCTGGATTAGGTAACCCTTGTGGTCCCTTCCTACTCTGCAATTTCATGATTTTAAGTTGGTTGCCATCTCTGCCTCCAGTGGCAGCGAGTTCCATAGCTCAGTTATGTGCTGCACAATGAAATGCTTTGGTCTGTCCTGGATCTCCCAACATTCAGCTTTGTTTGGGGGCTACGAGTTCTAGTGCTATGAGAATTATCTGTGGAGATAATGTGCCTCTGCCCGCCTGCCTCCATCATGGGCACCAGAGCAGGGGGTGGGCAGATTGTTTGTCCCATCCTGGGACAGGAAGCCTTGACAGAGTAACATATCTCTCCTCCGGGAAAAACTTTTCCCACAGTCCGGGCATTCGTGAGGTCAACTGATGTCCTGAATGAGGGCAACTACATTTGATGAGGCACCAGAAGAACCACACGGAAGCCTCACGAATGCCCAAACTGTGGGAAATGCTTTTCCTGGAGGAGAGATACGTTACTCAAACACTGGACGTCACTGCCTGCCCCCTTCTCAGAACATCAGCCTCAAAGTCTGAATGTCCTGAGTTTGAGCTTCAGGGAAGGCAACTTGCACATCCCTCATTTCCCCCAAGACTCTGGGTTTCAATCTATGGTGTAAGTACTTTTGTAATACTTCATCCAGTTCTGGTCAAGTCACCTAAAAAAGACCCCTCTGGCAGAGTGGCGCAGGAAGAGCATGCCAGGCCCATAACTCAGAGGTTGCTGTTTTGAAACCTGCCCCTGGCGGCAGCAGCCTCCTTAGTGGAATCCAGCCCTTAGAAAATTTCAAAAACAAAACAGATGCAGCAGAAAGAGACATCACACGTGTTTCTGTATACAGTGGTACCTTGGGTTAAGAACTTAATTCGTTCTGGAGCTCCGTTCTTAACCTGAAACTGTTCTTAACCTGAAGCACCACTTTAGCTAATGGGGCCTCCTGCTGCCGCCGCACGATTTCTGTTCTTATCCTGAAGCAAAGTTCTTAACCCAAGGTACTATTTCTGGGTTAGCGGAGTCTGTAACCTGAAGCGTCTGTAACCTGAAGCGTCTGTAACCTGAGTACCACTGTACTTAATTTTTTTAAAATATATTTAAAAACAAGCAGATGCAGCGGAATATGACTTGTCCATTTGTAGAGTTGTAAGGAATCCTGTGGATCATCTAAGTCAGGCATGTCCAAAGTTTGTTTCGGGGGCTTAATCCGGCCTGCCGGTCAGTTTAACCTGGCCCCTGTGGTAAAATCCTAAAAAAACCTCAACAACTTCAATCCTAAAAAAAGGCTAACAACTTTGGTTGGCCCTCACTTCATCAAATCTGGCCCTCTTTGAAAAAAGTTTGGACACCACTGATCTAAGTTCAACCACCTGCAATGCGGGAACACACAACTGTCCCATATATAGGGGAATCGAACCTGCAACCTTGGCGCAATCAGACCACAGTCTAGCCAACTGATATGTCCAGGCTGTCCTTGATTTACTTATTTTATTTAACAACATTTGTGTACTGCTTGACTGATGGTAATAAAATCTCTAAGCATTTTACCCAAAACAAATTTAATTCACCTCTAGTTCCACCAGCGTTTACTTTCTGGTGCAGTTCACAGACGCTGTTGGAAATATTTCAAGGAACTTTGTTCACCCAAAGTTGTTTGATTCCAAGCAGGGGAGAAAGGGCAGCCCCGCCCCTGAAAAACCTCTGCCCACCCCCACCAGATCCCAGAGCTGAGCAGGGGATCAAGATGTCCAATCCAGGAGGTGGGGGAGGGATCTCGGGCTGCTACAAAGCCCTGCCCTCCGGAAGGTGGATTTTCTTGAAGCGGAGGCTGCTGTTGCTGCACGATGCCAAGGATTTATTTTATTTTATTTTATTTTATTTATTAAATTACGTACACATTGCCATCTCAGGACAATGTATCGCCATGCATATACTGCATAAGGAATGCAAAGCGAGGAGGAAACGAGCAAGGATAAATCACGTGGGCAATAAACTCCGGAGTCATTTGCAGAAAAACCTAGGAAGTGAGATCGGAGGAAGTGGCATTTAACTCTTAAATTGGCGCGAGGGAGTTATGGCTGCTGCTGCTGCTGCAGGGAGTCCCGTCCAGGATCTCCGTGATGAAGCCACTTGCTCCATCTGCCGGGATTACTTCAAGGATCCAGTGACCATCCCAGAGTGTGGGCACAACTTCTGCCGGTCCTGCTTGGTCCAGTGCTGGGGGAAACTGGAGGGAGAGGCTTCCTGCCCTCAGTGCAGAAAAACAGTCCAGCAAAATAATCTCATCGCCAACCGGCAGCTGGTAAACTTTGTGGAATTGATCAAGAAGCTCAGCCTCCAAGAGGGGAAGGAGGAAGGAGGAAAAGGGAAAGTCTGCAAGGAGCACCGGAAGCCTCTGAAGCTCTTCTGCAAGGAGGACGAAGCTCCCATCTGTGTGGTGTGTGGCAAATCCAAGGCACATGAAAACCACAAGGTGATTCCTCTGGAGGAGGCTTACGAGGAGTGCAAGGTAGGAAACCACGCGGGATCTTGAGCGGGGGAGGGAACAGCTGTGGATACTTCTGTGTGCTTTTCTGTGGCTCACACGTCTGAACATGGCATGACATGAATTGTCTGCATGCAATTTGCACGCTGGTTGTTCAGTGGAGCTTGCTCCTGAGTAAGGATGGAATAGTACCCTTAAACACATCAATTGATTCCCTTCCTTTTAAGGGTTTGAAATTTTATCAACACACATTGCAGCACCTTATAGTAAGCCTTTGAAGTCCTGGAACTTTTTCATTGTTGTTTTCTGCCTAATAATAATAATAATAATAATAATTTATTATTTATACCCCGCCCATCTAGCTGGGTTTCCCCAGTCACTCTGGGCGGCTTCCAACAGAACACTATAACCTATTAAACATTAAAAGTAGTGCGACACTGCTAGCCCTTTGGGATAATAAAATGATAGCAAGGATGATGCTAATAAGACTTGTCTCCACTCCAAGGATGGGTTCACCGCATAGTAGCCATAAATTGCATGCTGCGGTAAATCTACAAATCTTACCTTTGCTTCTTGCATTGCAGGGGTTGGACTAGATGACCCTTGGGTCCTTTGCAGTTCCCAGGGCTGCATCTCCACTGTGGGGTGGGGGGAGCTGGCAGAAGGTGACAGGTTTGCATCGAGGTGGAACACTTTTGATGTCCGGTCACCCACCCTCCCCCATTATTGTTTTTTGCGGGGAGGGGGACAACGCATTTCCCCTTGCTCAGACACCCTGGGAAGTTGGAGGGGAGCCATAAAGTAGCCACGTTTGTGGGTGGCACTCAGCATCTCTGTCTGCCAAAATCTCCGAGGCTTCAAAGGGCTCAAAAAGGGCCTCTCTAGATCCCAGCTAGGCAAATATGGTACTTGCTTTTGTATGAGTGGAACATGGTGAGGGGCACCATTTTTTAACGGTTACCCTCAGGCAATGAAATGTATTGGGCCAGCCCTGGCACCTTTCATTTTTCTACATAGTCTATTGTTTATGCGGAAGATATAACCACTATATTTTGTGACTTTGAACATTTTTGATTGTTTGTATTTTTTATTTTACGCTAATATAAATAACAATAACAACAATAATAATTTATTATTTATACCCCACCCATCTGGCTGGGTTTCCCAACAGAATCATCACATTAAAACATCAAACATTAAAAAGTTCCCTAAAGAAAACTTCTGGAGGGTAGCGAGATTGGCAAAGCCTGCTAAAAATATCCCCA